TCGATGGCCTGAATGAATTATTCTAATCAGTTCTATAGCAGGCTACCACTTGTGGCTAATGTGTTTGATCAAATTGGCCCTTAAGTTATGGAAGTAGGAGAATTGCTATTTAGAGAGTAAAGCTTCAATAGTCATCGGATAGAAAACTATGTGGTGACGTGGGTTCGATTCCAATTAGAGAAGATTCTCTCTCAATTATTAAACTAGCACACACATTTTTTACTTAATTCTTGACCACAAGAACGCGGAACTGATCAAAAATTATCAGTATCATTAATCATTAATTGTGTGACGAGAAATTTGTCCTCAAGTCGTTGTAGCGTAGAATTTCGTGTAGACTTGTGCTACTCAGGATCAATTTTTGATCAATTTTGTTCATTTTTGTTTATGTTTTGATCATTTTTTGATCCGACTTGTGCTATTCGGGCATCAAAGTCTAATTTATCAGTTGTGCAACCTTGACCAATACTAACGACCAATGCTTCGTCATCCACCACCCACAAAAACTACTCAAACTATTAATTCATTTTCGAGAACTCGTTCATAGAAAAAAATCTACAAAAATAATAAATTTTTTATCTCTTTACATCCGATTTGACATTTTATAGACGAAATTGAATGAACATTTTCTGAATGTCAAGGTTTAAGCTTTGAATAAATTTTAAAAATAAAATTTTTATCCTCTTTTCTGTTAATAGAATATCCAATTAACCTTTCATGTGATTATTGTGGCGCTATAGTAACTGAAATGTTGAATATTTTGTCAGCGTAAATAAGCATAAAGTAGGAAATTTAATGTAAACAAACATTATTCAATGATTATGCTAAAAATAAGTATGAATCCTTTGAATATGAAACATAAATGTTGTTCCTTTCATCCCTTTTTATATTAATTCCAACAAAAAAAGCATCAATGATGATAAAAGCGATAAATGTAGAGCAGAATGAATGGAAAATGTATCACAACATGCATACACAACGATGTTAAAGTACCAAATATTTAACATTGACACATATCACATCTCAAACACTCGTGATATGTCGAGAATGATGATACAATTTTCCTTTTTTCATTCAAAAAAATTTTTTTTTTCTCCCACCGCACAGAATCTTCCTCATTTCACATCAATTTCACTTCAAAAATGGCTCATATACACAGTCGAAATTGCTATAATCCATTAGATTTCCGTTTAACACGTTTATGTTTCCTGTATTCATGTTCAAAAATATGTCTGTATGCATGATGAGAATGATGATTATGGTTGGCACACAGTTAAATGGAATATACGGAATCATGATGATGATGATTATAGTGCTGATGTAAAAAAAATTACGCATGCATAAATTTTTTATCATTTAATTGAGACAATATTTTTTTGGAGGGAAATTTCTTTGTTAATTTGGATTTGTGAAGGAATTTAGGATAATAAGTATTAGCTTGAAATGAGATCAGGAACAACAAAATAAAGTAGTATTTTACGACTTTAAAAGGTTTTAAGTTTTATGAGTGGCTATTAAATTTATATTGCTGACTTCTTATTTCAACAAGTTGTGGAAAGTCTTATTAGTCATTTGTTAAGTAAATTGTAGTTTTTGAAAGGTTTTTAAATAGTCAAAATGGTTGTAATCTGAGAACTAATGCTGAAGTTATTTAAAACAATTTCAGATTCAAGTTTCAAAATTTTCTTCGGGCTTCTGTGGTGTCAGATGAGTGGAATCTAGGGTTTTGGGCCATATAAAGCTGAATCTGCTGATGTGAAAGTTAGGAATCTGTAGCACAAGTGGTTACTCAAAAGACTGAAGTTTGTTAAGATCTTTTGTGAGGATGTGGGTTCGATTCTCACCAGAGACCAATCTTTTCAATCATTTTATTGAGTGCTGTCGATATGACAAGGATTTGAACAATGCATCACTACATTACAGCTTCGTATAGCAACAAATGTGTATTAATTGTTCATGCTGGCTTACATCACGAAATTGCTAGAATTTGATGTCAAGTGGGGACACAAATCTTATTCACAATGCCATAAAAGTACACGTTTAAAGTCGACAAAGCTATGTTTTAACGAATACTTTGTGCCGCTGGGGTACATGTCTTAGATAACCATTAAAACCACGAAGAAATATTTCAAAAAAAAAAATACTTTACAAAAATAGTTCCATCAAAACCTTAAAAGCAATTTATTTTAAAACACAAAAAATCTTAAAAGTCTGTTTATGATTTTAAATAAAACACAAGTTTTGAAGAATTTCATTCCAAATTTATCTCTCAATTAATTTTTGGGTTGATTTATTTTTAGAACTTTTTCATAATATTCTTAATTTTATTTAATTAAAATTTCAGATTTTTTTGTGTTTCTGAATATTTATGAACCAAAAAATAAAAAGCTTCGATGAAACAAAACATAACAAAAACTTTTTCAGACAAAAAAGGGACACAAAATAATTTTTTTTTGATTAATTAAAAAGTGATGCAGGTAGCATCTTTAAAAGTGCCATGAGGCTCGAGTTATGAGATTTAATTTATTCAACAAAAAATATTCTAAATAACATTCTTCGTGTCACATGTCTCAATTATTCATTTTTTAACCGGAAAGAGATAGATAGGGACGGCAGCAGAGATAGACAAAACTATGGGAAAGTTGAGGAATTTTTTGAGTTTTGGGAGGATGAGGCGCATTTGTGAGTATTTGCTAGGGGCCGTTTACTTATGAGGGGGGGGGGGGGTGGTTCTAAGATTATGTGACAATTTAAACAAAAAATTTTTTTTTTCAAAAAAAATTGAGTAATAGGGGGGGGGGGGAGTGTGTAGTGATCTTAATTTAATTTTAGGCAAAATAAGCTCAAGATTATTAGGGGTCTTTAGTTCTTAACTCTTCAAACATCCAATTAATTCATTATTTCAAAAAATCATCGTACTGCATTCATATTAGCCTGGGGCGTTTCCAGGAATTTGAAGAGGGGGACAAAAAAATTTTTTGTATGGAAAAATTTAAGGGGTGGGGGGATTTTGTGATTTTTTCATAAAAACCCTAGCAAAATAAAGAAATTTCTGCTTACGTGGGAAATTTGTCCTCCAAATGCCCTCCTGGCCACGTGCCTGATATTAGCCTAAAATTAATGATCCTATAACTCAGTGTTTGCGAACTCATGTGCTGCGGCACACTAAAATCCCTTGAAAAAATTCAACATAGCCCAGTGTGCGGTTTGAGTCAAAGCTTATTAAAAGGGCGTGCCGTAGCCCAAAAAAGATTGCCCACCACTGCTCCAACTTCTCATTATCTTCATTCTATCCCAAAATCCCTCAAAAAAACACATAGTCACATGGCAAACGTACATTCGAACAGAAAAAGGAGAAAAACATTTCATTAAACTTTTTTTCCTATTCTGCCGTCATTTGCTAGCACACATTCACACATGACATATGTCAACAAAAAAAATGAGAGAAAGAGAAAAAAAATTTTTGTGGTGACATTTTGTGATGACAAGTTGAGGCACAAAAAACATAGTTGTTGGAATAAGAAGAATTTGAAATGAATTTCTACGGAAATGAACTAATTATTGTGTGTCTATGCTTATATGGATATGTCTTCTGAATCAAAGAGAAATTAATCACATTTCTTTCATTTACGACAAATTAAATAATTTATGATTTATGAGACATGATGAGTGAGGTTTTGATAGATTTGATGGAATGATTCTTGGGTGGACGGGGGCTTGGAAACTATTGGGAGTTGAAAAATTGTCCTTGGATGAGAGAACTTAGTAGATTTATGTGGTTTTGCTGAATTTTTGGTTTATATAGCTCAGTATAGGGCTAGAAATGACATATCTTCTATATTGTAAGGTCGCAGCTACAAAAATTCAAATATTAACTCAAATGACCCCTAAACGGCTTAAAGCAGGTCAAAACTTAATTTGCAATTCAAAAATTTTGATACCTTTACAGAAGTAGCTGTACATTAACCTTAAAAATTGATATTTTCTGCAAACCTTTTCTTATTAATGAAACAAGAAAGTTTTCTTTTGATACAAAAATTATGATTGGAAAATTTCTCTTTTAAAGTTTTCAACGACGGATAAGTATCTTGCCCTCAAGCTAAAATGTCAATCTTTAAAAACTGTTCCTTTATATCTTGTTCTTTGCGACACAGGATTGGATTAACTTTATATCTTAGCAATCATGGCTTTTATATTGAAAAGAGTATTCAAAATATTTTATTTATTTTTTAAAGCAGAAATGCAATTTTGCACAGATTTCATGAAATTTTAGGAAATTAAGATTTTTTTGATTTTTTGGTTAAGTTCAATTTTTAAAGTTGATGTCAGTGTTGCGATCTTTCACAGGCAATGACCTGTCGTAAACCTGTATAATACCTGTTAGTAAATTTGTGTCACCTGTGCCTGTATCGCAACTCTGGTTGATGTTGTAAAAATGCGCTTTAAACCCATCACACCCGAAAAATTCCCTACTAATCCAATTCATTCTTTCATTTTTCTTACAGTTTTCTATCTCAACATTGACTCAAGTGCAGCAAGAAGTAGCAGAAAGAACATGACAACTTACTAAGTAGATGAGAAGAAATTTACTTAAATTTCAAATAATGTGACAAAGTACAAAAAGATGAAGCTAAAAGAAGCCATCACACGAATATAATAAGAAGGTTTTTTTACCATCTTTTGTGCACGAGTTGAAGGCAAAGAAGAGACTGAAGATGATAAAAATGAAAATAATAAGTGGAAATAGAAACTCGAGTGTTTTAGTTAAATTTTCATAGATAAAAATATTATTACACACAAAAAGTGCAGCATAAAGAATAATAATAATAATAATAACGTGTATACATATAGATAGGTACTTTTAGGAAGGAAAGGAAGGAAGTAGAACAATTCTTTTTCCATAAGGGAACATAAAACACGAATAATAATAGATATAATATTAGGAATTCATAAGAATGCATTCAAAATTTAAATTGTACAGCGTCTTCAATGGAATAATTCATATAATCTTCCTACTGAATATACTCATGTATTTCAACAATGGCTGGGTTATAATGCAATCGACGGAAAAGGCGGAGAAAAATGGTAAGTGTGAATTTTTACTTTTTTTTGCCAAAGAATTTTCATTTAAGTGAAGCTTTTCGGAATGGGAAAAGAAAATTTCATTGCTTTTTTGTCTTTTAAATATTCTCTTGGGATGTTAACTTGTCATGACAAAGTAAGTTGTCAGTCAGTGGGGGGGGGGGGGGGGATTGGTCCTTGCAACCTCTTTGGCTGTGCGCCTGTCAGTTACCATTAAAAGACCATCAGCAAATTTGTTCTTAAATCATGAATCTTGTGTATAACATATTATGAGAATACATTTTGTTTTTTCCTATATATTAATCTTTAATTGGTCCTCTGGACTACACTGAAGAGGGGGGACAAAAAAAAAATTTCGGAAAATCTAAAGGAAAGGATTTTTTAGATGCATTCCAAAAACCTTAGGGACCATTAACTTATGATCTCCAGTGGGGGGGGGGGGGGGGGTTCAGCAAGAAAAGAACAATAGAAATTCTTGTAAATCCATTGTTATTTTTTGAAAAATGATCGTTAATTGTGGACGTCATAAGTGAACGATACCTTAGCAAAATGAAGAAATTTCTATCGACGAAAGGGATCCTCCAAATCCCCTCTCCCTGCCTACTTGCCTGCACTTCTTGAACCTAGAGAACCTGTAAACTAGTTGTTCTCAAAATTTCAAAGTCTAACACACCATAACCAGAAAATCCTAATATTAAGCAGGTTGCCATTCACTGTTAGATTAGCAGCACCGTAAAATAAGCCTTGAAACTTAATCTTGCCATGTAAAATTCAATGTGCCTGCAACTCAGAAGCAGTATTTATCATTGAAAAAAGTTACCTTAATTCAGCTTAACTTCAAACTTTTGAATTAACTACTTCTACTAGTGCTAAGCAAACACTCACCATTTCCTTATCTTTAAACTTTTCCATCCCAAGAAGCTTAAAATTCATTCCATTCCAAATTTTAAAAATCACAAGAAAAAGTTGTGCAGACGAGAATCGATTTCAATTTATTGAAATTGATTAAAATTATTGAGAATTGCGAGATAGTTGAAGAAGAAATGAAATTAAGTCAAATATTATTTTAAACTTTTACATTTTCAAGATGTCGAAAGTTATTTTCAACAAACGGAAGAGAAAATTTTTCTCCATAAAATTGTGTCTTCTTCAATTTGTGTCATAACAAGGTATTAAAATTTGTGGAAATGGGTTTTGTGTTTGGGGATTGAATGTTGTTTTGTTGAGTCCAGGAAAGGTTTGCTAGAGGTGTGAAATATATCTTTTTGGATGTTTAATTAATTTAAATGTTATAAAAAAATACTCAAATAATTTAAATTTACAAATATTACAAAATATAATTGAATTATAAATTCATAGTCAAAAACACCAAAGCTTTTACATAAATCATGAAATTTATCAATTCAATTAACCACAAAAAAAAATCCTAAAATTCATTTTTTGCACATCAAATTTTAAAAACAATTAAATCTAATGTAAATGAGATTTCAAACAATTTTTCATAATTTGCTACTAGCCAAACGATCAGATTTTATTAATCAAATTTATTTTCAATAAAACAAACAAGCCAGTTTTTGGGGTTTGTGTAAAATTAGCAAAAAATAAAATCAATTGAATGCACACATAAAAAAATTATTATTTTATGAATTATTAAATGCTTTGATTGGTTTTGATGAAAAAATATTTGGATATCAAATTATACAATTCAATCTTTTACTATTTGCACATCCATTATTATGATTTTATTTTTGTAAAATTTGATTTAATTTTTTGTGTGAATTTTATGGAAATGATTTTATTTTATCTGACATTCTGGTGAAAATAAAAGTATCAGCAATGAAAATTTACATACATTTTTTCACTTCACTGTGTTGCTTTAAAATGAAATAAAAATGAACGAAAAAAAGAGGTTGTGTAGCGATATAAAGGAAACATAAATAACTTTGGAGTTGAGTGAGCTTTCAAGGTTTGGAATTTTGATAAGAGAAATAAATATTTTTGGATGAGACACCTTTTTTTAAAGAGTAATTGATTGATGGATGTGTGACTTTATTTTAAGATGTAATGTCGTGAGCCAGGCGCGTAGCTTGGAGGGTCTTGTCTTACCCTTATAAGCTTTTTGATCAGCATCGAGAGCACGACCTTCTAGACGAGGTGCCTGACACGAGAATTGTACGAATCCCTGTCATATTGACAAAATCTAGATAATGATTGAAAGATCCGGTTTCTGGTTTAAGAGTCGAACCCAAACCTTCACAAAAGAGGTTTAGAAGAGCTATAGAAGCTTAACCTTTGCACTGGCAGATTCGCCTATTTATAGCTCGATACCCTAGATCCCACTCTGTTCCGACACCACATTGAGGGTTGTTACGGTTCAAACAAAAAAAAAATTCTCATACAAATTTTGTTACGAGTGGGGGGGGGGGGGGGAGTTCTAAAAAGTCGTTTTTTCGCGTTACGTAATAAGTGAACGGCCCCTTACATAAAAACTCAAATTACTGATTATTTTATTTAAGAATTATCTAAAATAATTTGACTTAATACTGGTACCCCCCCCCTCCAAAATTTCTATTTTTTTTTAAAATCTCCTAAATTAAATTCTCCAACTCCTTCTTCTTCAAATCCCGAAAAAAACCCTAAAACACATCACTCCCAAAACTCAACAGAATCCATCGACCATGGCATGAGTTATTATTTTATTATCATTGTGAGAGGCGGAAGAAATCAACATGAAACCAATAAAAATTGTCATTGTATTGCAAATTGTACAGATCTACATCCATTATTTCATCCTCTCCACATAAATGCCATTAAAATATTGTATTATATTGTTTGCTTTTGCCAAAGTTTTTTTTTATTTTTTATTTTCATTCTCTCTGGCTTTTTATTTTATTCTCAATGTATTTAACTTATTCCGAAGCTTTTTCCTTTCCACTCTGTATGATTTTTTTTTCTATGCTCCTCCATTGTAGTCTATAAAATTCAATAAAACAGTTTTTATGACATTTTTATTGCAATTACAACTCTAGAAAAAAAATAGTATAAATGTGTGTACGTGTATATGTTCATATGATTGCATGAGAAATACATTTACAGGAGGAATTTTATATTCATAAAAATGTTTATAATTGAATGTGAAGTCTTGTTTCCCTTACTATGCAAAAAAATACTTGTTTAAAGTCACCAACCGTTGTGTTGAAATTTATTTTCTTCATGAATACCGAAAAAAAATTCTGCATCATAATTCATAGCTAATGGAAAGTGTCTGTAGACTAAAAAAAAGTTTCTAGCAATAAAAAATTATATTTTTTTGGAGAGCATTTTGGTGTAAATCTTAAATTTGTATGAAAGTTTTATGAACTTTTTGAATTGTCAAATGAATTTGTGGTTCTATGGATCTAGATGAATTGATGCAATTTGCATAATTTTGTATAGAATTTGTTTGCTGACTTGAACTACAAATTGTTGCGACTTTTAAGACTTTTTGTAAGATTCTTGTTAGGGTTGGGATCGTTCGCAAATTACGTCATGCAAATAAACGACTTTTTCAACCCTCTTCCTCCCCTTGTCACAAAATTTCTACCCCTCCTCTTAAAGCAGTGGTTCTCAAACTATGTGCCGCGAAAAAAAATTGATTGTTAAATTTATTTCATGCTTAATGACTACAAAAAGGTCATGAAAATTAATCAGTGTGTCGCGAGACTATTCAGTTGTGCCGCGAACATTTTTTGTAAAAAAATGTGCGTGGACCAAAAAAGTTTGAGAAACACTAAAGCAATAAAATGTGACGTAATTTTCGAACGAACCCTTTACTCTTGATAGATTCTTAAAATTGAGACATTTCAAAAATTAAAAATTCAATTCAAAATAAATGATAAGCATGTAGTCTGGAAAGTGATCTACAACATTTAATGAAATCCTAGCCACCTTAGTCAAAACATGTATGTCTGTAGTCTGGAAAAGAAGTCTTATTTATAGTAAATGTTATCACAAATTATAAAACTAGCTGAAGGTCCTTTAATTTATGGAATATTAAAAACAATAAGTCATGCTCAAAAGACTAGGTTGAGGTTTTTAAATGTGCTAAGCATTGAAATATCTTCTAGACTGCCAAAATAGACTTTATATTCATATTTTAGTGCTTCACAATTTTAAAAATTATACAAAAGTTTAAAATCTAATCTCAAAAAAATCTATTTTTCTCAATTCCAGTAAAATCAACAGAAAAAACAGCCGTTGAAGGACGAAGAGTATCACTTCCATGTCCGCTATCAACACCGTCCAGAGAAAAAGCTTATATGGTATTGTGGTTTAAAAATGATGTAAAAATTCCAATTTATAGGTAAACCAATTCCATAATTAATCTATAAATCCCAATCATTTATCATATTAAATCCTAATTAAATCACAGCTTTGATGTGCGTGGTAAGCCACTTCAACTCGCTCGACACTGGTCAGCACCCGAAATTTTCGGTTCACGTGCCAAATTCAATACTGATGTTGAACCAGCAACGCTTGATATTGACGATATTAGAAGGCATGACGAAGGAGTTTATCGATGTCGTGTTGACTTTCGTACAGCACAAACGCAAAGCTTTAGATATAATTTAACAGTCATTAGTAAGTAAATTGATATTACGTTTTTGAGTGGGAATTTTTTTTTTATGTTGAGAATTTTTCAAGGTTGATTTTGTAGCCTTGAAGTTGAAACTTGAATGGAATTTATTTAGGAAAGCTTTAAAGCTAGTCACGAATTTTTGATTATGGAGGATTTTTGAGGCATTACAAAGGTTGAAGTTGAGGTCTTGTAAGAATCAAGTATTTCCAATATTAGCTGCAGTCCATTGAACTCCACAAAAGTTCCTTTCATAATCAAACTAATTTAAGACAACACTTCATTCCAAAAATACAATAAAAATGTCAAAAAGTGACGCAAAATTCCACATAATTTAACCATAAATACCATAAAATTATCAACATTAAATCCACAAAAGAGCTCACCATAAAGTAAATAAAATTATTTATATCATTTCCTATATTCCATCCATATAATTTTCAACAGTATTACCTGAGTATCCAGTCGTATTAAATCGATGGGGTCGCCAATTAAACGGAACAACACTCGGCCCAAAAGAGGAGGTAATATTTTCATAACTTTTTTCTACCCTATTATTAAAGTCAATTAAAATTTACACACAAAAAAATATTTTTTTCTCTTCTTTCTGTTTTCCATCCGCGATGTTGATGGTGTGTGCAGGGCGATGATGTTCTATTAACGTGTCGTGTTGTTGGCGGTGAGTTAAAATTTTTTTTATAATTTATTATTAGAAAATATGTTCTTTAAAGTCTGTTGAAGTCAATCCTACATTCATACATACACATAGTGTAGAACATAGAATGTCTATGAACTTTTCCAATTAATTTTATGAGAATGGAAAAAAAATAATATGAAAGAACTAGGTATGAATTGCTATTTAAAAGAAAACTTTTAATGACGCATTATCGTAAAGAGCAATTATGGGTAATAGAAAATTGTATTGTAAACTATTAACAAAATGTTTGGATGATGTTATTAAATTTTATGACTCTTTTGAAAACTAAGATTGATGGGTTTTGGAAATTGGGACAATATTTCAGCTTAATTGAGCTGGGACATGAGAGATGAGAGAGATTTAGGTTAAATAAAACGAAGCTGAGATATTGGATTGTTAAATTGAAATAATTAGGACTAGATTGATTTATTTGAAGGTTTTCAGACTAAGTTGTACTAGATTAATAAAGTTTGGACTAGATTGTGCATAAAATAGGTTAGATTGTACTAGATTAATGAAGTTTGGACTAGATTGTGCATAAAATAGGTTAGATTGTACTAGATTAATGAAGTTTGAACTAGATTGTGCATAAAATAGGTTAGATTGTACTAGATTAATAAAATTGAACTAGATTGTACATAAAATAGGTTATATTGTACTAGATTAATAAATTTGGACTAGATTGTGCATAAAATAGGTTAATTTGTACTAGATTTATAAAGTTTGTACTAGATTCTACCTAAATAGGTTAAACTGTATTTGATTTATGAAGGTTGGACAAGATTTTAAACTGTATTGATTTATGAAGTTTGGACAAGATTATACCAAAAAGGGTAAAATGGACTAGAACTATAGTTTCCACCTAAATAGCTAATCTACTAAATTTATGAAGATTGTACTAGAACAAGGTTTAAGTTTTACTGGAATTATGAACTTAAGACTAGATTGTACCTAAAAAGGTGTAGTAGAATTATGAAACTAGGACGAAATTTTAAATGAATCAGGTTATAATGTACTAGATTTACAAAGGTTGAACTAGATTGTAATTTAAATTTTCTAAAACGAACTAGAATATTGAAGTTAAGACTAGATTATGCTTCAAACATGATGAAACACAATAAAACTTGAAATTGAGACTAGATTCTGACAAAACCAATGCTTTTAAAAGTCAAACTGCATCAATTCATTCCAAATTACTCTAAAAACTGCTTTTAAAAAATTAAAAGAACAAAAAAATGTTGAGCAAATGAAAATTAAAACTCTTTTTTTGCTCTCTCTTTCTATATCAATTTTTCATAATTAAATTCACAAACACAAATTAAAATTACCTAACACAACACAACGAACAGAACCCAATTTAACTCAATTTTCAGCTCAAACTTTGTTTTTAAAAATAGCAGAGTTTTGTTATTTTTTTTGTTTGCTTCGCTGAAATTATTAGCAATTTGTTATTATAGACCGTGAGCAATGAAAAAGTGGAAAAATTACGCTTTTTTGTGCTGCGAGGTAAACAATTTTGCAGGAAAATTAGGTGTCAGGAAATTTTAGTGTTCCATGCAATCAATCAATTAAAGTTGAGAATGCAAATTAACTGCTCTCATGCGGTTTCTGAGCTATGATGAAAAATTTCTGTACATTTTGATTTTTATGGAACGTTAACTAATGATTGGCCTTAGATTTTATGTTGATTGTAAGGTCTGGTAATTTTAGAATTCAATTAACTAGGAGCCAGTTTTGTACTGATTTTGTAATATTGATGTTTAGTGCTGGATAAAAAGAAATTTGTGTTATTAATATTATTATTATTTATTTGTCAACTTTTTACATTGATCAGTGATACATTTCATATCACTATGGGTGACGTATAATCAAGCTTCTAATCTTTAAATCTAGGTTTCGATTAAATTCAGGCTCTCTTTTCAATCTTCTGTGGGCGTGACGTGATACATTTCAGGTCCGTTCTGACAATATTCCATTATAAGGTAATCTTGTAGTTCTCGTTCCTATTTCTCCCGCTGCACTTCAAGTTCCTGATCCGTTCCTTAATCCAACGTTGCTCAAAATGCTCAATTATGGCTTGATCTCGTACATTAAGCAGTCGAAGTATCTAAACTTCTGAAAAAGAACAAATTTGGAAATTGCTGGATTCGAACCGACGACCTTCGAGTTACCATACCAAATTTGAGCCAAGCGCCTTACCTATTCGACCAGCAAGGCACTTAACTGTTCTTACTGTAAAGCTCTTCACAACAAATCTCATTCATAATATGTAAAAATAATGGATTTTCTAAGTTGTTTGCCTTGAAGACTCTAGTAAATTGTTTACGATAGATTACATTGAAAAAATATAAAAAGGCAACCAAGGGGAAAACAACATGATGTGAAAAAGTTTTGATAGATAACTGCTATCAACATCTTAAACTTTTATGAGGAGCTGTGGTTTCTACCTTGTTAGCAACTCAAGTTGTTTCATGCTATTCAGCATTTCTCACATAAATTCAGCCTAGTTCACCTCAATTAAGCGTCATCCATCTCAACTCAGCTCAATATCCTTACAGCTTCCTATCAAATGCAATTTACTAATGACTCCTCTCACAATTTCCACAGCTAGCATATCATAGAACTTTTCCAAACAACCACAATCCATTAAAACTTGTCGAACGAACGCAATACAAGCTTATGTATTTCATTTCAGACAGGCAAGGTAAAAATTCCTACATGAAAATTCATTGTTGCATTTTTCATCATAATTGCGAGCCATAAAATTCAGTTTGATTAGCAGTAGAGCTGGACAAATGAACATTTTCGTATTGCAAGAAAAATTATGTTTATTATGCAATTATTTGTGCAAATATAACATCCACATGCTCTCATTGTGTGTGCTGCAACCATCTCATTCTGTTCCTGCTTACATGCAAAAAAAAGTTGTGATAGACCAAGTCATAGGAAAATTGCATATGCAGCGAAATATATTTTTTTTTCACATGCAAAACTATTTTTAGGTACATGCACAGGTCTTCTCTGTTTGTATGTGTGTCAGAGCTGTTTAAAAAGTCCAGAAAGCAGAAGAGTATAAAATTTAATGAAACGAAACGTAAAATTTACTCTAACTAAACCTAGCGTTGTTGCCTGTTGGGCAAAAGTCATGTGTGCATAGAAGCGAGCTTACACAATAAGTAGTTTTGCATTCACCTCTTCTGCTGAATATTTTTTTTTTCGTTCGAATATGAGAAATTTTCTGCTACGCTTGCAACTTTCACAATTTCCGATGAAAAATATACACACATTTATATGCTTAGCATGGATGCGATAGGAAAATAGTTGAAAGGAGCTTTGTGCTAATATTGTGGCGTTTGGAATAGACGAGGATAGGTGTTCAGTGTAATTTTTAATGTTGATATATTTTCTGTGAAAAAAGGGATTAATTACTGAGAATATGAGTTTAATTGGGAGACCTGCTGAAAAACCTGGGAATTGTAATGAAAAATTGCATTTACTTATGTTGTTGCTATTGATGTTGACTGCGTTTGGGCTGTTCACTTATTACGTAACACAAAAAATTGAAACTTTGTCATAAATTTGGTATGGAATTCTTTTTATTGAACTGTCGCAAAATCTCAACCGCTCCCCCCTAACCTTAAAAGCGTTCTTGTATGAGAAATTTAAGGGGGGGGGGCTGGATTGGTTTTGCATTAAATAGCAAGTTCCTTACTTACTAGCCTAGCTAGGGCGCATGTGGGCCCATCGTCTGAAGACATCTCTATCCTTAAAAACTTTGTGCCAGTTCGGGATATTAAGGACCCTAGCGTCCTTTTCAACAAATCCAATCCACGAGATCTTCGGTCTTCCTCGTGCAAGTAGCAAATTGAAAAATAATGTCGATTAAGGAATCCACCCATTCCTCCTTCTCTTCATTACGTTACTACTTGAAATCAATGACTCTGTCTTTAGTCGTACCTTCCATACCTCTTACTTCCAAATTTCAAGACACATTTCCCACAACCACATTCAATTCGAATTATACATAAACCCCATAAACCTAAAAAAATTCTATTTACTCAACTCATTTTCTCAATAAATAAATCCGAAAAAATATTATTGAATGTAATAAGTCCAATAATATTGACATTTCTTCTTAAAACCTTTCAAAATCACTTGTCGTCCTGATTTACCTCGAAAATATCCAATCAAATTATATTCAAATCTCAATTTTATGTTTATATTTGTAATCATCACAGTTCAAGTACAGTTGAAGACATGAGTACGTGCAAATAATTATTATTTACTTGGAAATTTTTGGTTTGATAATTAATTTGTTGTTTGATTATGAAAATTGGTTTTGAGATTTATGTGAAGATTATTGAGGTGTGTCTGTAGATTTAGTATTGATTTGTACAATGTCTGTTGTATAATTGGCTTGAAGACATTGTAGGTTATGTCTTGTATTTTGAGAATTAAGATGTCCGAGTAGCACAGGCCGGATAACGACGTAATGTCGATTTATATGTGACCTTATAGGTGACCTCAAGTCGTCCCCGGATCGTCTTAGCGTTAGATTTCGTCTCAATTTCCCGACTTATGGTATTCAGGATGGATTTTTCAATATGGTTCAAGGGATCAAAAAGGAAGAAGGGCATCCATCACCAGCCCTTAGTTCTAAAACGCTTAATCTATTTAAAAAATCTACAATAAATCCAAATAAATCTCACGAAATTCCCACAAGGATCTAATAACTAAATTTCATGCCCAAAATAAGACCAAATTAATAAATGTCATGGCTATCAACAAAATTTACTTCTTATGTTTCCGAAGAACTAATCAAATTTGAAAGCCTCATCGAGCACGTCATTTGTATGTCGAGAGTTCATAATGTACATAATATTGAATTATTCATAATTCTAATTGAATAAATCCTTAATAGGTTCATGCTCTGATTTATTGTATGACGTCTTTAATGTGGTGACGAAACTAGATAGATTAGTTTGAGGTTAGTGTTTGAAATGTCCGAATTGCATGCAATTATCGTCAATTACGGGATATTAAATATCAAAAATTGCATTCATTACACCAAAGTTTCTATCATGCATAGCACAGCAAATAACTAATCCACAAAAATTCCTCAAATATTTGTTCTGGTATCAATTTCAAAATCGCATTTAAAACAAAACTATAGAATTTTAAGCATTTGACCGAAAATCTCTCTTACTAATAAATAAAATAGATTGAATTTTTCCAATATTCACAACGAAAATTGCCATGCACACACTCCAGTCCCTTAGAATTTGAAGCATGCATGTGCATTGTATGGAACTTTTCCCTCTTGTCACAATACAAAATGATTTGGTAAATACAAATGCATTTATGCATCTACAGATGGGGATGAAAGGGGTTGGAAACTGATTGGAAGGCTTGAATGCTGTGAGACATGTTGAAGAAGATTTGAGTTCTAAGAGACTTAAGGTCCTACCTTATTTTGAAGTTGGGAAACAGAGTAATTCTATGATTTCAAGTTCTTTGTAGACGAATGACGCTGAGGCTGATAACAAGAACAATCAAGAATATTGGTTCCATTCCCACCAAAGCTAATCATCACAAAGGCAATATGTCCATTACATCCTAACAACATTACACAATATAATTTAAATTCCAGCATCAATTCTCACAATATCCAATCAAACTCTCTTAACCTCAACAAACATCCAACATAACCCATGCAGCAGTCTGCGGTCAAGTATAAAGTTATAAAGTATCCATCCCCAGACAGTAAAAATTGGAAAAATAAATAAACTAACAATAGCTCTCGATTCTGCAACAGACCTTCTCAACCTCAAAATAGTTAACGAATAATGAATAGATTTGCAATTGTTTAATGGATGAAAATCGTACTTAATTTTTGCAATTGTGGACAAACATTCTCATACTCTCTCTCGCCCTATGCACGCTTTTATTCGATTGTATAACATATAGACTAGATGCATGCATTCATTGTCGATTATATTATATTCAGGTCCCTCTCTATCACTGCATTGGTATTTTATAAAAAAAATAGCTATTTGTGAGTGTAAAGAATATGAACTGCAGCAGTTAAACACACGATGCCAAATGATTGCTCCGGCTATTTTCGTGGTTTTGTGACCATCAATTGTGAATGTCATTTGAGTTTGAATGCGAAAAAAAAGGTTGTTTGTGTGATGCACTATGGCATTTTTTTCCAGATCGTTTTTATCTACCGATTACATGCAGATAAAGAGTATTTTTTTGTGATTTTTTCAACGCCACATTCGTGCATGTGGATTTGGATGCAGAGACTTTTTTTTTGTGATTAAATGGTGATGGAAAATTGTTTGTCAATGGAAATTTTGGATTTAGGAATTGCAGATACGTGGAGTGATTTGTGTGGATTAATGTTGATGTAGCTTTTAGGATAGAATTTTTGAATGCTAGAATTTGCATCCAGAATCTATAATTATGGCGAATTTTTCAGAAATCCTCAATCAAAATCGCTCCATTTAATTCACAAAAAATATCAATCTAAAGACACTTGACATAAAAACCTCAAATTACAGATCATCACTTAACACCTTCTTATTCTCACTCAAAATGACTTCAACAGACTATCTTCCAGAATCCATAGCAATAAAAAAATCAATTTATATCTTCCACTTTATAGGTCGTCCACCCCCACAAGTAAGATGGCTCGTTAATGGCTTAAGCGTAGATGAGCAAGTTGAACAGCAAACAGGCGATGTAACAGAAAATCGTCTTATGTGGCCTTCCGTTCAAAGGTCTGATTTAAATTCAATATTTACTTGTCAAGCGACAAACACGCCACTTGTCGAGTCAAGAGAGAGCAGCTATGTATTGGATCTGCATTGTAAGTGATTTTCTTTATGTACATTTTATACTATTTGCTGGTTTTTTGATTAATAACTTTTCAATAAGCTTGATAAAGATGACTTTTTTCTTTGGTAGCGTGGGATTTTGACTGTTGGGTTGTCAGATTGTCTAAGAGAGTAACTTTTGTAAGGCAGGATATAGACACTCTTGAGATTGAAACATGTTTGAGAAAAGTCGGATGTCCAAACCTAGTTTGGAGGAAAATCCTAAAAATGCGCTTTTAATGTCCAATCAATCGTCAATCACTCAACAAATTTTATCAGTTTTCTTAAAGCTGACTCGAAAGATTGAATGTTCATTTTTCAATGAGAAAACTTTTTTTTCTCGTTTCCTGTTTCTCCATTGAATTTCTCATTTCTTACCGAACATATAAGACATTGTCTGTGACAAGATGAAGGAACAAGGAAGCCGTTTTTATGTGTTTAAAAAGAAATCATTGCAGTTGACATGTGTCTCAATACTGTAGCAGTTATTATTTCTTCATTCAGCCATTCTCTGAACTTTGTGAATGTGGCCGATGGCAACATTATTGGATGATTGAAAGAAAATGTCCAGCTCATGTAACTTTATTATTTTTCAATGTATTGAATGAGAATTTTGATTTGTATGCAAATAAATCTATGCTGAATAGGAAGCACATTTGAATTGTTTGTTTAAATTTTGAAATTCAAATGAGTTAAGATCCACGTGTATTGAGAAAGGTCGTTTTTTGTTAAGCTTGTTTGAATATTTTTTAAATTCAAATATTATTTTTTTTGAAAATCAACCATTTTTTAAAAATTGAAAATGAAATAATTTTTAAATTTTATTAATTTTTTTTGGGGTCGTACACTTATGACGTCCGATATTCCAGAGGAATGTTTATTGTACTTTTCTTGCTAACCCCCCCCCCCCCCACCCTTGGACGTCACTAGCGAACAGCCCCTTTTTACACTTTTTTAAGAATTATGTTCAAAAATTGTCAATTTTCTTATTTCAACAGTAAAACCCTTAACAGTAGACATCGTAAATAAGAGATTACCATTAGTAGCAGATCGAAGGTACGAGATTCAATGCGAAAGTGCTGGTTCAAGGCCAAATGCAATAATTACGTGGTACAAAGGAAAGAGACAGCTGAGGAGGACGAAGGTAATTTTTAATGCTTAAAACTTTAATAAAATTGAAGGAAAAGAATTGGAATAGATTTGATTATCGTCATCAAAATTTAAATTTTCACATTTGGTATGCAACAGCAGTTCCACACCAACTTACCAGCCTAATCCAATTCACTTTAAAAATTATTTTGCATTTTACATTCATAAAATATTTAAAATTATGTCCTCAATGAAAAAGTAAAGTGCTTGTTGAGAATTTAAGACTTTAAGACCCAAATGTTCTTAATGCACTCATTCCATTTAATTGCAGCTGTAAATATCATTGTCATTTGCTCTATGTGCTTTTCACATTCTCACATATTAAATTATTAATTTGTTCTTTTATAATTTTTTTGTGCTCTGCTTTTTTTTGTGGTAAAAGTTCAAGTGAATGTAGGTTAGGAAGTTTTATAATTGTCAAGTGCTCGTATCTTGGTTTGGTTTTGGAGTGCTTTACTCAACTAGAGGTAGTAAAGATGATGCTTGAAAGTTAAGTTCTAGGCTGAATCCAATTATTATTAAGAAGCAAAAAAGTTGATGAAACAATTTTTTGAATTTAAATTTTTAACATTTTGAGTTTTTAATTTTTTAAATGTTTTTATTTATTTTTTGCAAGAGTATGGAACTGATGAATTACATTTTGATCATTTCATCAGTTCCTCATCCTTGATTTTTTGCTGAAAATTTTATGTTTTTTCATAATTTTTTATAAAGTTTTTTATCAATTTTAGTAAGTTTATTATTTTAAATCACTTCCATCACCTAGAATTATTTTAATTACATGCCCAAATGACCATTTTACACGAATGCTAATGGCTTTTCCAACACGTTAAAATTATTAAAATGTAGCTCATGCAAAAAATTGCACTAAAATTCAATAATTTTAATCAAAATTCATTAATTTTTCATAGCATTAAGTGCATTTAGACATTCTAAAAGTTATTCATTAATTCATAATGCCTCTTTTATGTTTCAATAAATTGCAAGTCTTTTCATCTATATTTCATGCCACATGCTGAAAAATGTTGTTATTTTTGCATAATAAATTCATGAATATTTTCACAATAAGCATTTAAAAGCGACACAAAATTTTTTTTAATTATTTAATACCAAACCGAGTATATTTTCGTGTTGAAAACTACATTCATGCAATCTTATTGTGCATTTCTATATTTCACTTTCCTCTATCATGTCCTATCAAGCGACTCTATTCACCATTTGAAAAATAATTCTGATGATGAGCGAGAAAAAAAAATTTTTCTCATCTGACAAATTTTTCCACCAACAATACACAACATCCTCATATAATATAATGCACAACACATTTTATTTATTGCCATTCATTGTGAAAACAAATTGAGCGTATAGGTATTCAATATATTAAAAAAAAGAGAATTTTGTATGTGCTCATATTATATGGAAAATGTCGTTGAGTGTGAAAGGCAATCAACTTAAATTGAATGCGATGGGAGTGAAATTTATTGGAACTAAAAAGAATGAATGAAGTGGAAAAAGAGGAAATAAGAGAAGCTAGAAGAAGTCATTTTTGAACAATTGAACTTAAGAATTTGACAATTAATTATTGAATAATTGAAAATATCGAGGAATTGTAGAGTTCGAATCCCAAAAATCATGATATTTGATTTGATAGTAAAAGGTCTGTTTTCTTTTGGTTCCTTAAACAAATTTATGCATTAGTTGTAAATTAAATAATTTTTAGACCAATGATGGTCAACCTTTATACCACGGAACCTTGTCTCCCACATTAAATATCAAAATATATCACGATATTCAATGTCATGTGCGGTTTAAGTCCTAGTTTACCATCAAAGTGTGCCTTAGCACAAAACAGGCTGGACAACACTGCCTTAAACCAAAAATCCATACAACTGAATCTATTTTTGTTAAAAATTACAATTCTCAACACAATCTGAACTTAAATTTATTAACCTTAAAAACAATTTCAACAAAGGTCAGCATAATATATTTTTAGAATTCAATTGAAATCACCAGTCTAGACAGTATGAAAGGCTTCGGAAAATATTTTTTTTCTTTAATTGCATATCGTTGTTTTTCGATGTATATCCCTATTTCCTTGGAAAATTGCACTTTTTTCTTATTATTATTATTAACTGGTCACAGGCACGTAGTCAGGAGGGTCTTGTCCCCCCCACCTTAAACGTTTTAAACAGCAGCGAGAGCACGGAATAAAATGCTTAAAAGGAGCACATAAGGGGGAATTTCTGCAATTAGAAATTGATAGCCATTGATTAGCATTTTGAATAATTTTTTGAAAAAAGTTCCAGAGTTGCGATTTGTCACAGGCTATAACCTGTCACTTGCTTGTTAACAGGCAGTGCCTACGATATCAGTGGGCTGATTTGACAGATCTGTGACAAGCAATATTTGTGATAGATCTGTCAAATGTGCCTGTAACAGGCGACCTGTATCGCAACTCTGAAAAGTTTGTTTAAAGGCTTTTTAATGCAATTTAAGATTTTTAATTAACAATAATCTTACAAATCATCCATAACCACTTCTTAAGACACGGAGTTTCATTAAAATATAAAAAAATGTCCCTCCTCACAACAAATTCGTGGCTATGCCCCTGCTACTCTTGTCAAAATGTTGTTTTTGTTCAGACCCAGACCCAGATAAGGCAGACTAAGAATATTATCTTGAATGTACAAATAACGTGTTTCAAGGGCTAGCTGGATTGTTTTATTGGAGAGCTTAAAAATTTAAATTGCCTCCAAGGGGCTGTTCACTTATTACGTAACGCGAAAAAATGACTTCTTAGACCCCCCCCCCCCCCCCTCCCCCTAAAAGCGTTGCGTAATAAGTGAATGGCCCCCAACCTAAAATTACACTTCTCTCTCCACACACTCAACAGGAAGTCCAACTAAAAATAAATAGCATCCACAAAAAGAGACTTATTACTCATCGAGGCACAAAATTGAAATTTCATCTTACAAAATGAAATTTTTTTGATCGGCTTTTAAAAATTCATTACTAAAAGCTTCTTAAAGACCACCCACAACACACATTCAATCGCTAGCAATTATTTTATTAATTTCTCATGATTTATTTCCATTTCAATGAAAATTGGCTGGTCTTGTTACACAATAATAAAATTTTTCCTAAAGTCATTTCCTCCTTATTTACATAATCATTCATACGCACACAAAAACGAGAATGCTTATTAATTATTTATTTTTAAAAAGAGCCATGGCATACATACTCATTTATTAATTTTGATGAATGGCAAGTGGAAAGTCGATAAAAAGAAGTTTTTTTCCCTCCTACTCGTTCCTTTTTGTCTTAAAGCTGACAACAATTTGGGGATCGTTCATAAGTGATGACACAAATTTGATTATCAGGCGTGTTTTAAGATTTTAATGCAAAATAAAATTATTAAGAACGTCATTGATGAATAAACCCCTCGGAGAACATTGAGAGAATTATGAATATACGCATAATTAATGAGCACTGAAGCGTGAAAAGTTTCTAATTTTCCTCAATCTTTTGTGTGTTGCCTTTAAGTTGAAGTCAATTTTTTACAGAGTCAGCAAATAAATTTAACCGTAATGAATGTCCTCATTCTTTGCAGGCGGTACATTAAAGCATCCGTATGGCTCTTGTAATGGTGGCTGAATATTGAGTCGATTAACGATTACACAAGGGAAAATTATTCATGTAGAACATTGAACGCGTTCATTTTTTCTATGCTTTTAATGTCTTTTTCGTGTGATGTCTTTGGAGAAAAATTATTTTAGGGAATGGGAAGATTCGAGTAGGAATTATTTATGGTGGAATTGGTGCTGATTTTGTGGTTCATTTTACAATTTAGGTCATATTGTCTTTGTAAAGCATCTAATGGTTCAAATCCCAGCTATTCAAGCTGGATTCTAAAAGAAAAACTTCAAAAATTCCTAAAAGTGGCCATCTGTGTCCCTTTTCAAATCAGCAATCCACAAAAAAATACAAAACACATCCATTCAAACCATACAAATCCATCCCCAACCACAAAGCACATTGATCACTTCAACTTATCTATTAATTGATTCTAGTCCATGTCCAAATAAACCAAAATACCACATAACATATCAGATAAACAATTACATCACAAACTTGAGCCTCAAATGTCCAAAAAACATCTTTTCTTCTTTCTATTTTTGCAGATTTATCTTTTGACATTATTTTCGTATCAAGATGTTTACTTTTTACTTAATTAAATCTTCTTCCTTTGTTGATTCTTTATTCTCATCTATTTATAAGTTGGTCGCAATCGCACATAACATGCTCTTATTTCATCCACAGATGTCGATGGTTTTAATTTGTTTGGGATATTTTTTTATCGGGAAGTTGAAATAAGATGGTAATTTGTTAATGGTAAGGTAGATAAGTGAGCTGAAATGGTGGCTGAATGGTTTAGTACTATGGTACCTAATTACTAAATACCAACACAGCGATCATGGGTTCGAGACTCGGCATGGGAAATTTTCGCAAGTCCTTTTGCGAAACATATTAGCTGAAAATGAGGCTCACAGCCTTCCTTTGTAGACTACAGGCAGAAATGTCATCATAGAAGAGGTTCGGATCCTACTTATGGGGTTTAGGTCAAGGTTTGAGTGGGAGGTCTTGCGAACCTTCTCTCTAGTTAATCTATCATTAGCCTTGCAACGTGCAAGTATGGATTCTTAAGGTCTGAACAGCTAAAGTTTTTTAAGGTAGATAAGTAGTGACAGGGAATATGTAGGAAGTGCAATAAAAATCACTGCTAGCTCAAACCATCAAAGTTTTTACTTCACTTCCATCTCCTCATAAAAAAAAACATATCTAAAAATCCATATTATATCACATATAAAATTCACATGAGTATGTATGTACACGTGTGTATTTGCCAAACTCTCGTTCGTGGCTTGTTAAAAAAATATTATTTTATAAAATATCTCCGTTCATAATTGAAAGTAGTAAAGTTAAAAAGAACAGATCGATAAAAATAGAAAAATTTTTTTTTTCGGTCGCAAGGCTTGAAGGCATATGACATGAGAAAAGCTTTTCTCATTTTTTTCCCTGCAACATTCATATATGGCTGTGTGAATGCGGCAAGCAGGCCGGAATGAGTCTCAAAATATATTAAAATCATGCATCATTGTAACACATGGCATTTTGCAATTCTTTCTCTCTGCACAAGCTACGAAAAAAATACAAAAAAAAAATTGTCGCTAGTTTGCTGCCCTAACTAGCATAGATGTATGACGAAAAACTATAATCCATTTAAAGCTGCATAGTCGAGTGAGAGAGAATGGAAGCACAGACATTGAATCATAGTGAAAAAAGAGAGAGAGAAATAAGCTTGCAGCCATGAATTATGAGTGAAAATATGAAGGCAAGAAAAAAATAATAAATTTGATTTAAACCACAACTTTTTCTGCTATTTCTCTCATTGTGAGCTTTCTACACTTTATGAATTTTTAGTTGGCTCAATTTTTTTATGAACGCGAATTCTTGTTTTAAGGGAATTTAAGAAGATTTTGTTGGAGTTAAGTTTAGTATGGAATTTGTTTGTGGAAATACTTTTTTTGAGTGAGGAATGCTTTCGTGGACTAATTGTTTTGACATAGTTTGATTGAGGTTAAATGTGGTTTGAAAACGGGAAATTTTAGATTTAATTACGTCATTATTTGTGGAATTAATGAACATAAACAAGCGTTTATTCAGGGTTGGGGTCGTAATCGAAACTTGAAGCAACAAAACTATTTTTCTTACTTTAAAACCGTGAATATTGTGTAAGTGGTTGGGATTCATTCACTTATGACGTTTGTCAAAAAACATAATTTTGACCCCCCTCCTCCACACACTGTCACAAAATTTATATGGAAAAATGTCCTTTGTTTGAGCTGTTACAAAATCCTAGACCCTACTCAAATGTTACTAGTGGAAAATTAAGCTATAAGTTTTGAAAATTAAATACATGCAGTAGACTTTAAACGATGAAACTCAATTTTTTAGCGAATTTTTAAAACTCATTTGCACTTTGTTTGCTCGACTGTTCGGCTGAGATCAATAACTTCTAAACCAGACATCGAAGAGAGCTCGGATTTGTTTTATTAGCTCAGTTCTATAGAGTTATTGTCCGATCGAACAGTTAAAAGTCTTGAAACCGTTTATTTGTATTATAAATAATGATTTTTTTTATTTCATATGAAAAACACACGATGAGTGCGTTTAGAAATATTAAAACGTTAAAACATTCGGTTATAAAAATTGTTGTGGGTGCATTTAGAAATTTTAAAACGTTCATAGCGGTTTTAAAAATTATTTTGGGTGCGTTTAAAAATTCAAATTTATTTCTATCGTTAAAAAATTTGAAATTCAAAAAAACTGTTGAATGACAAAACTTTTTATGTGAGAATTGATTGCAACAAAATGTTTATTTCTGATGTTAATCAAAAACTGATCGCTGCTTTAAATGCGCTGAAGTTGCTCGATCAATAAAGCAAGGACTTTTGTAATTTTTTTTAAAAATTTCTTATCAAAATATTTCATCAATTTTTGATGCGCAATTTAAGAATCTTGAAACATTCTTTTATGTATCTTAGTGACAAATCCTATTTTAAATTTTCCAAAGAGATTCCTCCTTGTTGTATTAAATGAGCTTTAACTTGAATCATTCGATTGAAAAATTCTCAGAAAATGAACAAATTTAAAGATGTCAACGAACGACAATGAAAATATCCAAAAATTAAATTCTCATTCCAATTCCTCAATTTTATATTCTTCAAATAACAAAACCAGAAAAAATTCTATTTCTAATTTTTTTGATCCCCTTTTATTTTCCACAGGACGAAGCTCTGAATAACGTCACAAAGTCGATTCTTAACTTTGTACCAACGACAGATGACGACGGTAAATCAATAACATGCCGTGCTGAAAATCCAAAAGTTTCGGGCCTCTTTCTCGAGACGACGTGGAAAATCGAAGTAATATGTGAGTATAAATCAATAAACATATATACAAACCTACAAACATTGTATTATGTACGAGATTAGTCTTATCTTGATATCAGCAAGCAATTTTCATTCCACAATTCATCTCGAAAAGTGATTTAATATGTTCGCAATTTTCCTCGTTTGATAAAAATGATTTGTGGCTGAAATGGAAACAACGAAAAAAAAGTCATTTTGTGGTGGAAAATTGCTTCTATTTGGAAGATGGATGTAACTTTTGGAATTTTGTTGCTGTAATTACATATGAAGTTTTCTTTGGTAACAGATTGATGAAAATTTCAGCCAAATCGAATTTGTGGGGTTTTTGGGAAATACCACAAACATGCTTTCATCAATGTTTAGAAATAATTAATCAGGTTTGGTGGAATTTTGTAGCTGAATATGTATTTAAAATTCATTTTGTCTCTGAATTTATTGAAAATATTGAAATTGAACAATTTGGTTCAAAGTCTAATATGAAAAAGTCAATTCTCTCTTTACATCCACGCACATCTCCACTCAAACGAGAAAAGTATACAAAGAAGTCAATCATAAACTCATAAAGTAAAAGGAAGCAAAAAAGTTTGAGAAAAAGTTTGTAAGAAATATTATTGGTAAATAAACAGAACAAGAAGAACTGAATTCAAAGAGATAATCAAAGATAACACGGTTATTTATTATATCTGTTGATAAATAGCTCGTTAATTAAGGAAAACTGTTTGTGGATCTTTTGTGATTGGATTTAATTTCTTTAGGGGGCCGTTCACTTACGACGTCCAGGGGGGGGGGGGGGGTCAGCAAGAAAAGAACAATAGAAATTTCTGGAAATCCATTATTCTTTTTTGAAATAGACCGTTAATTTTGGACGTCATAAGTGAACGACCCCTAGGGTGAATTAAATTTAAAAAAATCTAGGGGTGGGAAAAAATTTGAGCTCACTAACACCATCATACATTTTTGAAATGTAAACATTGAATTTATTTCAATATATCAAGTTAATTTCAATTTGATCTTTGTCAAGAATATGAATACTAGCTTGATTAAGCTATAATCATTGTAATTGAGTGTTCTGGAGGCAGTTTAGGATATTAATTAATTTATAAAATGTGAATTTTCTAAAATTTATTCTATAAATGCTATACAGCTATAGCGTGCGTTCAGTAATTCAAATTAAAAATTCAACGTGAAAATAGGTTCTTTTTAATTTCCGAACACAATAATTCATTCTCCACCCCTATGAAAAAAAAAAAATCAAAATTCAATGAAGATTAAAGGAGGTATAAAGTTATAAGATGCACCCCAATTACCCCTGTGGCTAGCCGACTGACATATTTATATCGAAACATTTCATCTCAGGTGGTAACCCCATAAAAAAAGTCTTTCAAACTTTGATAATATCCTACACAAAAAAAAATTATCTAAACAAATCATTTAAATTATTAGCAAGTTCTACAACATCTAGGGATACATTCGAGATAATTAAGATAAACAAAAATTGTACAACTTGTAAAAAACTCATAAAATTAGCATCAGAACATGATTTTTTTGCTTCGTCTTTAAAGATTCAAACTTTTTATATTAAAATGTAAAATTACAGATAGAAATTCTCGTTTTTTTTCTATGCTGTCCATTAAGATGAGAACAAAAAAATAATCCTTAATTAGTGTTCCATTTACTTTTATCTTGCATTTCTCAAATTTTCTGTAATAACTGCAAGAAATTTCAGCAATGACAGTAATTTTCCACATCCGAAAAAGAAACTGAAAAGTTCATTTGAATTTTTCATCATTCATGAGATGAAGAAAGGAAAGGATTCAAGTATGGAAATGTAGTATCATCCCATTTTAGGTGTGCCTTAACAAATAATCCTTATGCACACAGAAATGAAGAGAGATGGAAAATTGAAATGAAAGTTAAAAGTAATTTGCATTAAGATCTAAAAGTTTATCATCTTAATGATACTTGTAACCGCACTAGTGCATTACATGCATACATCTTGAGGGAGTTGTGCAATTTAGAGAATTAGGGAAATTCGATGGAAGTCGGTATGATGAAGCTTGAATGTTTAGAGGTATTAGAATTTTGTGAAAGTCACTGAAATCATTTTGGAGTCGTCAGAAATTACCGGTAATTTTTCAGAACATAACAAAGGATCTTCTGGAATTTTTAATGTTCTTTTCTAGCTAATTCACCGCCCCAACCCCCCAAAGGCTCGGTTTCTAGGACTACCCAGGTCATAGTCTCTTCCATAGTCTCAGATTGTAATGCATCCCCGAATGGCACAAGTCGGTTAATCGATCAGAAATTCGGCACCAAGCTAGTGTGACTTTGGCATGGTGCTGGATTTAAATTGAAGTCAGAACCATGCCACAGTCATGCCAGCTTGGTGCCGAATTTCTATTCGATTAACCGATTTGTGCTATTCGAGATCAAAATTAATTTATGCTTCGGGTAGACATAGAAACCGGGCCCAGAACGTCATAAGTGAACGGTCTCTTAGGGATATGGTCAATAACACATCCACGAATCAGTTCAAATTCATGAAATTTTTGCAATTTTTGCTCAAACACTGACTAAAATATCAAAATTCGCTGATGTTGTTCATTAAGATCGGGATGTTAGACCAACAAAAGGAATCAGGGACCAAACATTTTCGACTTCTTCAAGTTACAAAAACTCTTGCTTCAGCATCTGAAGATGCAAAAAGATCGCTATCTAAACTTTTTGAACCACGGCACGATTTACGTGTAAGCCATAATCAAAGTCGCACACAGCATGTGGCTCGCGTCATTTCCAAAAAAATTCTACGGAACACCAGTGAGCCGCGGCACACAGTTTGGACAGCACTGCAATAAAGGAAGCACCTTGTATCAATCTTTATCAAAACTCTTTATTTCCCAAACAATGCTGTCCAAACCTCAACTCAAATTTATCGCTAATTGCAACTAGAATCTGACAGCCTACGAACCTAACTCAATTATTTCAAAATAAAATAAAAATCCTCCAAATCTTCAAAAATCTCTCGTAACCACCACAAATCTTGAGAAACCCTACTCACAATTTAAATTTCATTCACTTCTCATTAGTGTTGAATAGTAAAAAGCTCATTTTACAACTTTTATTCCTTTTTTTTGCTCCTTCTTAACAAGACAAAAAAAAGAAAGAAAAAAATTTAAAAAGGATGAAAAAAATGGAATAAAAAAAAATTTGGTCGTGTTAACAAGACGACAGTAATTTGCAATTTTGATTTTTTTCTTCTTCATCATAATAATTTTTTTTGTTCTTATTACTCTTTCTCACCACAGATCCACCACTCGTCAGCCTTCGTCTTGGTTCAACATTGATAGTGGACGACATAAAGGAAGGAGATGATTTATATATGGAATGTCAGATTCAGGCTAACCCAAAGTTCTCAAAAATGTATTGGATGCATGATGTAAGTTGAAATGAGTAACGGAGATGAGAAAATTATGATGGATTATCATCCTTTTCAATTTTTTATGATGAATATAAAAGGCGTAGATGTGGAATTTTTAAGTTTAAGTTTGTGGAAACTTGGTCAATGCTTTGATGACTTCCATGCTGTTAAATGTAAATTTTGTTGGTATTTTGAGGGCTCAAGGTTTTTAAAGGTTGTAGCCATGAAAAAAGGTTGGACTAGAATCAAGTGCTACAAAGTAAAGTCTACTAAGTTGATGTATGTAACTCATACCACATCCAAATGGCTGCTTAATGAACCGATTGTAATCCCATCATCTCATTTGAGTACGTTGCTGATAGATTTTTGTAGCTCCTCAAATTTTCTGAAGCTAGGGATTATGAATCAATTTTAAATCTTTAAAGGAAGGACTAAGGATTGTCTAAAGCAGTGGTGGACAACCTTTTTTGTGTCACGGCACGCCTGAGCCATGAGCCAGCATACGATTCGTGGCATATCCCAAAACTTTTCACGGCACACAAGTGTGTCGCAGCACACGGGTTGACCATCACTGTTCTAAATGTTTAAATTAATGACTCCATTAACTCGTACCTATGCCATAGAATTGTAGATTATCAAAGCTTAAAGAAAAGAAATTTTACAAACCACTTAAATTCTATTACCAATCAGTAAACAATAAGCCGCCCACAGACTAATTTATAACAAGTACATCGAAAATAATTGATTGTCAAATTCATCTAATATTAATTTCAATGATTAATGCATCATGTTGTGAACACATTAATAATATATAAATTATTCTGACAATAAATTTTGGATTGACTTTTATCGTACCGAGTAATGACTTAATAAATTAAGGAATTTATTTCATTGACATGTTGTGTCATAAATCGATAAATCTGTGTGCATTTGTCTCAGCCGAGAAGTTCAGTTCACACTAAGAACATCAACATTTAGGAAAATTTAATTTGTTTCTTCTCGACTTTCTTATTCAAGAATTTTACATCCTCCCAATTTTCAAAAGGATCTTGTTGGGATAAGTAAAGGAGGTCAAATGTAATCAACAACATATAAAGCGATAATTCTTCATCACGAATTAAATATTTTTCTTTTCTTTCTACTTTCTATCCCAAACACAAGCATCTCATCTTTTCCTGCATCATACATATCAGATGAGCTTCAACACTCAATGTGACATGTCGGTTTTGATGAATCAAAATAAATGCTATTTATTTTCATTCAATTTTGTCATTTATTTTTTTTGAAAGAAAAAAGTAATAGGATGATGTATATACGTACATAAATTATAGGCTTTGTGTGATGTGATATTATTATAGACGAATATTTCTATGCTTTTTGATAAAGACTTTTAGATGGCAAGTTAAGAAAATTTGTGGTATGAGTTGGATTTGTGCTGGAGTCTGTGAGTGAGCTGAAGTGGCTTGATAGCTGAATGGTTTAGTACTTCGGTACCTAATTATTACAATACCGACACAGCGATCATGGGTTCGAGACTCGGCATGGGAAATTTTCACATGTCCTTTTTCGAAACATATGAGCTGGAAATGAGACTCACAGCCTTCCTTTGTTGGACAGGCTACAGGCAGAAATGTCATCTAAGAAGTGGTTTGGATCCTACTTATGGGTTGTAGGTCTAGGTTTAAGAAGGACCTCTCTCATTAATCTATCACTAGCATTGGAACGTGCAGCTATGGATCTTAAGGTCTGAACAGCTAACTATGAATTCTAAAAATAAGCATCAGTAATATAGTCCAAGGACTCTTGCCAACTTGATACGCAGCAATCTCTTGCCTGCAACCACGCAAAAACGATGAAACTAGACCATTTTGACAAAATTACATTGAAGATTCAATTGACTAAAAATAAATCTCTTCGTACCCGCCTACATAGAAAAACAAGGAATAATCGCATTACCTTTACATCCATTAAAGTATTTCCAACATAACCCAGTCAAGATAATTTACCTTCAACCTTTATGACAAAAAGAACACTCAAGAACTTTAATGGCATCAAAAAAATTCTCTTTAAACCACAAAAGTCCTTTCATTCCAAACAATTTTCTCCCATTTTCCCACAGTTAGGGACTAAAGTAAATGAGAATCATGAATAAGAGGATGATGACGAAGTAGAAAGTTTTGAAATTTAAATATTTTCATCATGTCCTAGTTGTGTGTACAATAATAATGTATATTTGAAGCTAGAAATGTCAAATTACAAAGTCTCAAGAGCTTTAACACTCGAAAGTCGAATGTCTTTATCCTAGCCTGCCTTATAATTTTCCGGATGTTGAAAAATATTTCTATTTGTCCGAGATATATACGAATGCAAATGTATATTTGTTCTGAGAATATACTTTAAAATTTTGTATTGATATCTATAAATTCATCTTTCTCTCTCTTTTTCCCCATTAGAGACATGCCATATGAGACCACACAATATTGCATTCTGTTGCATTTTGTATTTTCTATTTACATTTTGATGTGTTTTGTATACATAACAAAAAAATTGACTGTTTTTTAAGCTCAGCTTCTCTGGGAAAGGGTTAGAGTGTCTGTGTTGTTGACCTGGATGGCAACTGTGTATTCTTAATCAAGGATTGGTCCTACGACATGGATGATTTGCACATTAAGAGCATCTACAATATTTTAATTGAGACTCATCTTATTTGCTTACTTCGGTATGTAAAGATTAATTGTGATCCATTCCTCTCCGTAAGATGTTACTGGTTGATGGCTTTATCGCTGGTTACCGCTTGCCAATTTCCAATTAAGCTGTCTCTTTCAACGGCCTGCCTCCACGAGTTTTTTGGCAAAGACTTACAAAGTCACCAAAACTCATTACTAGGTTTATAACAGGTCAAAGTGTAGCGAGGGCGAGGAGGGCATGGATGCCCTCTTAAAATTTTTGGACTGTGATTAAAAAGTTTTAAGGTGGTGTAAACCCTCTTGGGTACGCCCCTGTAATAAGTCCTGCAAACCTGAACAAAAACCACTTAATACTTAATAAGAATAAGTCAAAGCTCTACTAAGGGGCCATTCACTTATTACGTAACGCTTTTAGGGGGAGGGGGGGGGGGGTCTAAGATTTTGTTACGGTTCAAACAAGGAAATTTTTTTTTCATACAAATTTTGTTACGAGGTGGGGGGGGGGTCTAAGAAGTCATTTTTTCGCGTTACGTAATAAGTGAACAGCCCCTTATCTAGTTTCTCTATCTGAATTCCTTATAGCTGTAGGAGGGGGGGGGGGGTTCTAAAGAACCTTACAAGAAAGAGTTAAATCATATTCCAAAAAGAAAAATGGTACATTTTATAAGGTTTAGTCAATCATGATCCACATCTAGCCTTTATACATGAACATTTGAGTTTTTTTTATAAAAAAAATATCACATTTAATTGTCTGTCTATTCCATCACTTCAGGGAGTACTGATATCACACAATGCAAGTGCACGTGTAATACGATCAAATCAGAGCTTAGTGCTGCAGAAAATAACTAGAAATTCAAGTGGAAATTATTCGTGTAGTGCCATCAATGCTGAGGGCGAGACTGTTAGCAATCAATTGCCATTGCGTGTTAAATGTAAGTACAGATTTTATTTTTTTAAATGCATGACTTTTATTTTTAAAAAAAGGTTGAGGAATATGAATGTTGACCATAAATCGTGCTGCTGATGTTCATTTTTGAATTCAAGAGTACACAAAAGTTCTATAAAGTTTGTAAATGAACTTTTATGTTAAATCATTGTTGTTCTTTCAGTTCTTCTGTTATTCTTTTAACAAACTATGTCGAGTATTTCAACAACAACACAGAAGTTGTTATTTTGTGACAATGGAACAAAACTATTGTGAATATTAATGAATGTGTATCCATTGCAGATTGACTTATAGTGTTTTCAATTTACATGAACTCTACTATGCTGTAAGCTGTCTGTTGCGACTTTTGTTTCTTTCGGGATGAATGGAATATTTTATTTATTTACGGCATGTCTTTTGGAGCATTTATGTGCATTTCTCTTGAACATTTTGAACTGTTTTTATGAGGCGTGCATAAAAAGTTTTTGAGGAGAAATTCTATTTAATCTGGGAGCTAAGGTGCGTAACCCACCTGAATGGCACAAGTCAGTTAATTCGATGAAAATCCGGTACCAAACCAGTGTGACTCTATAATAGTGCTGGATTTAAATCAAAGCTAGTATCATACCAGAATTGTCCCGTCTTAATGACGGATTTTTGATCGATTAACCGTCTAATGTTATTCGGGCCATTGAATCTCTCTGGCTACATTCCCTAGACCAGTGATCAGATACTAGTGAAAATAGGAATATTCTTCAAACCAATCTCTTTACATCATGAATCTAAATTTATGCAAAATCGTCCAATGGATATTAACACACTCGATAAGCTTTGCAGCACATTTACGACTATTAACAGTCCTTAAAAAATTCATATTAAAATTTCATTCGATCCCATAAATCGTGATTATATTGAACTTCAAGTGCACATTTCTTAACTCGTAAATTTAACAATATTCCAACTGGATATCTCAATTACTACGAGCTTAAATATTTTTTTTGTAGATTTTTTAAAATCTCCCCCACAAAATTTCCGTCATAAATTGATAATCCACACATTGTGAGAGATGGGAATAAAAAATTTAAGAGAAATGGAATTTTAAAATGAAACATTTTATTCGATTAAGTGCGGAGTGAGTAAGAGATAGCAATTTAATGGAGCATTCGATGTAGCTAATGGAATATAAAATAAAGTGTCGAAAGAAAGGGATTTTCAGCTATTCACATTAATATAATTTTCATTCCATTGCTTTTATAGACTTTACTCCCTCCGACTTGATATTTATTGTTTTTAAGAAATTTATATCCTTATATCTCATACGTATTAAGTTTGTCTATGCTGGTTGTCCGGAGGGTAATTTTGTCTTGCATCTGTTGATACTTTACACTCATCCGAATGTGGACTACGTTATTTTAACACTCTATATAATTATCGCTTCCTTTTGCCATTTCCTTAAGGCATGAATGGATATGCTGAATATGTGACACATAAATCCTATCGCAAAAACCTTTTCCTTTATATTTCCGTTACTGAGATGTCAATTTACTTGTTGTGCTGTTAAATATATGAAGCTTCTTTGATCAGCTCAGACCCCCTCCCCCCTAAAAGCGTCACATTATAAATAAACGACCCCTAGTTGGACGATTCCCTTAAATATATTACCAATAAATTTATCCAAAAATAGATAAATTATCTCGTCAGCAAGTGCGAAAAGATTTTTTTTCTCTCTGTTGCTTTCCTCATTTTCACTCACATGCTTGCTTAATCTGTTTGCCAATTTCCTTATAAATAGTTTTTAATCTTGCAATCAGATTATTTTCTTTTTTTTCCTCCCATCTATGCTCATTCATCTCTTTCCTATATCTCCACTTTATACTATTTTTCATTTCCACACATAACGTGTGCCATACTTCAAGCTTGTGCATCGTTTGAGATAAAAAGAAGAGACTGTGAGGATGAAAAAAAGAAGGACATGGGATGTTAATGGTCATGGCGCATTTATTCAGGTGTATTGAAGTAGAAAAGGTTGATTAAATAAGGGTTATATGTGGATGTGCTTGTGAATATAAGTTTAGGAGTGGAGTGGAAAGTATCAGATTTTGAATAATTATTTTGGGGATACTTTTATGAAGTACGATATAAGTTAAGGAGATTTTTGATGGTTTTATTTTGGATTTTGAGTCTGGTGGGTTGTATGATAGTGATTCAGGCTTAATGGAATGTGTACATTAAAGGAGTTCTTCTCAAATGACGTCCACCAAACAAGATCAAAGCTGTAATCAGGATAATTATTAAGGACATAAATAGACACAACCTTAAAATTCATTTTAATTGATAAAATTCAACTCAAAACCCCCAAAAGCACCACACTATTCAAAAATACCAGCTAAAAGGATTCAAGCACAAAATCCAGTCTGTATGCTTTGATACTTAGCTGGCCATAATCCAAGTAAATAAAGCAGAACGATAAATATTGAGAAATAATTCCCTTTCATTTATTTCTTGTCTTTTTCTTCTTCGTCCTCAAAATGACGTTGCTGGTAGCAATATGCTGCTATGCTGGTTTCCGTCCCGTCTCTTTTCCTCATTTTCACTTTTTAAAATGCTTCATGATTTCTCCTAAGGAGAATCACACCATACGATCCACATGAAAATAAGTATGAAGACGAAAAGTTTTGTGTAAATTGCTGTGACAGTTTAAGATTAAAGTCAATTCAATTTAAGAGCCATAAGAGATAAAACGAGTATATACGCGAGAGTATAAATTAAATTCCAGTCTGACTGCAAAATTTACTGAAGCGAAAAATGAACTGTGATGTAAAGCAGGACGAATAAGATTTGTTTAATATCCAAGCTAAACTGTATCGTGATTTATGCTTAAATATCCTCCCATAATCTTTAGTTTAAGACTTTAATTCATCATTTTTCATTGTGTCATAAACGTGACATTGATGCGAATAAGATTTTTATTTCTATAATGGAAAGATTGCAGTTTGTTGAAGTAACTGAGTGGTTGAGTGCTGTTATTTAATGGATGATGATTGTGTGCATAAGGTTTCAGGAAAATAGTTTGAACTTGAAACTTCTTTGGAATTATAAGGAGCTTTGCTATCTATGGATATGGCTCGAAGAGTATATCTGTAGTAGATAGGTCTGAGCATAGGGCTCACTGTTGATCTGGTTATATGTGTATGACGGATAGCCATAGTGAGATAAGTACCTCGGTGGTCGAAAGGCAGGGATCTCTGATCGAGTGGAAAGAGATCGCCTCTTTTGAGGTCGACGGTTCGATTCCCATTGAACCCGGCTTGTTTTACATTAGTATACACATATGGCAGTTATAGGTGCCTACACTATTCGAGTTTTTTTTCTAATAAATCGCAACTGCATCACTTACGACTCAAATATTCATAGAACTTCACGGCTAATATCCCTTAAGCTTCATGACATTTTAAAACTTAAATTAAACTTTTGTTTTTACTACGAAAAGTCCTTCATCGAGAAATATCAAGCCCCCACACCAGATCCACCTCAAAAACTATTATTCTTTTCAATTTAAAGCACAAGAATAAGCTTAATGTCATGACGAAGCACTTAAAGTCCATACCATATGAAATATTTCTCTTTCCATTAGTTTATTATTTTTCTTATTCTCCGCTTCGCCAGCTTCATTCACAACCTCAGGGCGATTTTAAATTGACTTTAGATTGTATCGTGATTGAAAATGTACAGTAAGTCTTTTGTTGCCATTCATTGTGGCGTGTAACAAACCTTTCAAGTATTTCATTTCTTTTTTTTATTGCTGTCATTTATGGCTTTGACAATAAAAAGAGATTTTTTTTCATTTGTAAATAAAAAAGAATATTTTCACCTTCTTTCGATTACTGTCGCACATAAAGATGTGTACAATGTGGAATGTAAGCTACGGAGAGGACAAAAAGGGACATTTTTTAAGCTGTTCAATAGCAAATCAACTTTGTTGTGGGAAGCTTATGAGAATGAAATGTGATATGTTTTTTATAGAGCTTTAGGATGAAAGATTTTAAAATTTTGAGAGGATTTTCAGGTTATGCGGAAGGAAATTTGATAGTTTTGGAAAACTTTTTTGATGTTTTTGAGTTTTGAAGATGTTTATTTCCAGAGTTGGCGAGTGTTTCTTACTTTTGTGTTCTAAATATACAAGATTCTTTATTTTTGGCCATTCACTTATGACGTCCAGGAGGGAGGTCAATAAGAAAAGAACAATAGAAATTCCAGGAAATCCGTTGTTCTTTTTTGAAAAATGATCGTTGATTTCGGACGTTATAAGTGAACGACCCCTTTTACTGTTAAAGTTTAAAATTAGAATTTCTAAACGCACTCCAAAAATACATTTATTTATAGAATTCACATTTTATCAAATTAATTAATGGTCTAAACTGCGTCCATAACAATAAGTCATGATTGTCAAAGCTTAATCAAGCTGTTAATTATATTCTAAACAGTTGTAATCAGCTCAATTTTCAAAAAATAAATTCAATGTTCAAAAAAACGTATGATTGTGTTAGTGTTGATTTAGGGGTTTCGAATTTAACGGCAAGAGCAAGGGTGTGGTACTGATAAAATGATCAAAAATGATCAAAATGTAATTTTCAGTTCCATACCCCTGGGCAAGAGTGCTGTTTGCCACCCCTGGATTTGTTGATACATTTAAAAATCTACTAGAGTATGATGTATGTTACATCTCAAATACTTGACAGACTTCACATCAGCTGATGTTTAAAAATAATTAAAATATCAAGCATTAAAATACATTGTAATGCCTGAAACATATCGAATTTTAAACAGCAAGTTATGAATACACTGCAAACTATTTAAGAAGATTCATTTACATATGCTGTTATTCTTAACATGTTAAACTGTCCATCACTAATCCACAATGATTCAGATTCGGAAAAAATGTTCAAAAATTCCTTGTGCACAATATTTTTCTGACACATTAGAAAATTGAAAGTTTTTGTTGATTTCTTTTGATTTGATTCTTTTAGCATCTTCTACATAATATTTTCGTTCATTGCTCAAAAAATCAGTCCTTAATATAAAGGATAAACATGTTTTTTTATCAAAAGTTTGTAAAAGTTTATCAAAAAATATTGTGCATGATCAAACTTTGTATGAAATTTTATGTAAACTTTGATCGCAAATATCTCGAAAACGGCATCAAATGGCATGTCCTCAGTAATATGGGAGATAGATTAAAGCTTATTTAATTGATTTATATAGGTTTCAGAGAGGTCTTTGGAAGACTTTTTAACTTATGAATAGTTTAAGTTTTGTAAAAATACTCAGATTTCAATTCCATTTTTAAGGCTTAATAAGCAGATTTCTATTGAGTTGGTTGTTTTAATATGTAGAGCTAAGCTTAAATTAGCTAACAACTGCTTTCAAGACATCCAAATAACAACTTAAAGTAGAAAAAATCACATTTCTTTTTTCATACTCAAATTGTAAACAAATTTTGGGTGAGATTAAATTAATGATTTCTGGAGTTAGACAGCAAATAGGAACGAGATATTTTTAAAGGATATGCACAAAGGAAAGATCTTTTATCTGGCATTTAAAAGGCAAAGTTTAATTAACATGAAATTTTTGAATTTTTGAACATTTTTTTCGATTCTGAATCATTGTGTAATCTTAAGTTGCTCCTTACAGTCCTCAAACTTTAAATTCCTTTATAAATTAAAAAAAATCTTAAAGTCTCAAAAAATAAGAAGCATAAAAATGCAGCCACAGCATTTATGTCTTCATTTTTAGTCACAGAATTGGAAACGAGAGAAGAAAAAAAAAACAATCGAATATGTGACAGACAAAAAAAGCACATTATAAATTTTCTTTCTTGTTTGCCTTAAATTGGAGCACAATTTATATTCACAGTGTGAAAGAGAAAGGATCGAAAATCATTTTGGGAATTGGCTTGCAATGCCATTATTATTTGAAGATGAAGTGTGAAGTGAATTTTACATTCTCGCCTTGTTTTTTTGTCTTCCTTTCCCACAAAAAAATAACTTGTCGACGACAAACTGAAAATTGCATTCGACTGTCTCGTTTGCATCACACATACGTAATATCATCATGTGGATATCGTTCATTATGAATATGAATTGAGATGGCTATTATGTGATATTCTAGGAATGAAAAGAGCTGGATGGAGTTTTTGATTTAGTTTTATATGGTTTTCGAAATTGGACGTTCTCTTTTTTTTTTGCTGGCGTTATGAAATGATACATAATTTCTAATTTAGATGTAATAAAAGTGAACAATGTAGATATGAGGAAGTATGACTCGATGTGGGAGCTACAATTGTTTTAAAACGTTTGTTTTAAAGGATGCTTAATATTAACTTAAATTATATTCCCTGAAATCTCTTCGATAAATTCGAAAACGCTGGAATCAACACTAACACTTTCAAACATTTCCCAAAAAAAAACATTGAATTTTTTTTTATAGATTGACTTAATTACAACTAATTCTTTGTTTAGAATATGATTAAAAGCTTGACTAGGGTTCAATCTTTATGATTTAGTGTTCTTGTTGCATTTTAAAGCATTAATTAATTGATAAAATGTGAATATTCAACAAATCAAATATTTTTTGGAGTACGTTTAGAAATTCAAAATTTTGAAATTTAAAGGGAAAATAAGCCATCTTTTTATTTCTGAACACAAAATTAAGAACCATTTCATACCCCTGGAAATATTATTTAAAAATCTAGCTTTTTGCCAGATTGTTCAAAACTATAAAATAAAATCACGATTAAAATAATAAAAATATTTACATTCCTAATTTACATCTACCCTACAAATTAATTCATCCATGAAAAAAACAAAATCAAATTGATAATTTTCATTCAAACAGAATAATTCTGTCAAAGTGAGCTCATAATCGCATTTAATATTCAAGAAAAAAACTGATAGTAAAATTTATATACATATAAGTGTACGTATGGAAGACTGAACACAGTAATAAATGGATTTTATACTTGTACAAGCAATTGTTCATTGAAATTGAAATATATATTGTATGGAACAAATGCATAAGAAAGGAGTAGAGATGTAAAATATTCAACTCAATTTTCATCTGTCTTAACTCAATTTTTATATGTATTTAAGTCATAAAGTATGCAAGTATGTGCTGGGACATTTGGTGATAATAAATGGATGCTCAATATAGAGATATGAAAGCATATTTTTTCCTATTTTTTTTTTGAAATGTTCCTTATTCCTTCCTCGATCATTGAATGAAAAAAAATAAACCTTTTTTATGAATGAATTTGTGCAATGCGGCAAAGACAGAACGGGTTTTTATGATAAATGAAATTTTGAATAGATTATCGTCTCGAGGCTGAAGAAACAAGCGAAAATTAATTGAATTGAGATTAACATCTAATATTAGAATCTGGTTTTTGTGTGACGATTCAAGACTAATAACCTCGAATTTGACATTGGATTTTTTTTTGTGGTTTTTAGAGTTCTACAAATATAGTTTTGATGTGTTAATTTTTCGTTGATTGTTTTATTGCCAGTTCACATCCTAAAAATAAAATTAAAACAATTAAAACATATTTTGATGGGGTAGAAGAAGGGGTTGGTCAGGGAGGGGTTAATATTTAAATTAAGAATTTATACGCGTAGCCAGATTTGAAAGAGAATCATCTACAGAAATTTCTTCAATTTGCTGGAGTTTTTATGGAAAAATCCATTAACACCCCCCCCCCCCCTCTCCCTCCAACAAAAAAAAAAAAAATTCAATGCCCGTTTACAATTCTTTATGCCCATGTAAGAATTAGTTTGAAGCTATATCAAACCCTTCCTTACTGTGCTGATGTGTCTGACTAAGTCACATTGATGCTTAATTAACAATGCACTACAAAAGATTCTGGTTATTCAGAACCCGAGATTTAAAACCTTGAAAACCCACCGACTCTAATATCGCAAAAAAAAAAAATTCTTAATCAAACTTCCGAAAGGCACACGGCTTAATAATGACGTCCAGGATGGCACGCATTTGGTAAAATCCAGCATGAGTTGCGTTCATACCATCCTGAATTATTAACACTGTTGCACAATTTAAGATGAATAAATTAAAATTTAAATTGAAATTGAAATTGAATTTAGATTGACAGCCATTTCTACCCTGTGTGCTTTCGGAACTTTTCTTTAAGATCAAATAAAAAAAAGCATTAATAATCAGCTAAGCAAAACGAATCCACGATGACGAGTTTGTTCGAATTTCACCATCATTACTCAGACTCCCATAGACCATCTACGGCACGTGTTGACTATTTTAAACGAAATTTTAAGACAAGAAAAAAAATGCAGGTTCAGATTTGAATTTTAAATTTTGTTTTCTTTTTTTAAGGCAAGATTTTTTGTGTGCCTAATGCTTTGTTTCTTTTATGAATAATAAAATTTGATGTTGTAATGTTCAGCAGTTATTAGAGATGAGTCAACGATGATTAAAATTAAGTGGTCATATGACACTGTTTGTCTGTGGACTAGGTTGTATCAAGTAGAGATCTATAGAATTTTATAGTAATTAATTGTTAATTTAAAGCAGTGTTGGCCAACCCATGTGCCGCGTCACTATAGTAAAGTAACCTAATTTCAAAAACCTAACCCGAATGGCACTAGTCGGTTAATTAATCAGAAATCCGGCACTAAGCTGGTGTGACTTTGGCATTGTGCTTGTTTTAAATCGAAGCCAGCACCATGTCATAGTAATACCAACTGGGTGCTGGATTTCTATTCAATTAACCGACTTGTGCCATTCGGATAATATCAACAAAATCCATTGTCCAATGAACATTTATTTTACAATTAATTTTTTTACTGCTGTTGAAACTTCTTCAAAGTTTCACTTCTTTCCGGATGCTTCTCATTCATTTCAGCATCAAAAGAAAAATAATTCCATTCCATCACCCGCTGTTCAATTCAAGACACGTTTAACAAGTTTTTCTCTCTCATTCAATTTCATTTCAATTCCTCAACTTTTGTGTATCATTCAAATTGAATTTTTTTAACAGTTTCAAAAAAAAATAAAAATATTTTTCATTCCTTTTTTTCCTATTTCCAGATGCACCCGTCTGCACGGTCGATAAAACGATTATTGTCGGTGCATTTCGTAATGAAAATTTAAATGTGATATGTGATGTGCATGCTGATCCACCACCGAGATCATTCAGATGGAAGTTTAATAGCTCGGGCGAGACGTATGAGTTGTCGAAGGATCGACATTACAGAAATGGGTCAAGAAGTAATCTACAGTATACACCAATCATGGATCAGGACTATGGCACGCTGACATGTATAGGTCAAAATGATGTTGGTGAACAAGCAATTCCATGTGTGTTTCAAGTGATTTTGGCAGGTGAGTTTCTCGATGACTTTTACTTCCGTTCGTAAATGGTTTGATATATTTAGGGGTGTGGATGGTCGATTTTTTTGGGTGTCTAGATATTAAGTTTATGAGGGGATTATCCACAAGTGATGTAAATTCCTAATTTATATTTTTAAACTTTTTTGAGGGTTCCATTGTTGATTTCTTTGAGAGGTTAATCAGACAAACCATACCAATCACCCCTAAAACCTACTAAGCATTACTTGCCAATTCCAAAACTTTTTTTCGCATCAAAAAAATACACGAACGAGTATCAGACAAAATTGTCATGTTTATCACACTGACAATATGAAATTGTGAAGGTAAACACACACAAAAAAGTTGGCAGACAGCACAAGCGATGAAAATATCGAGTGGAATAAAGAGTATTCAGTAGAGGAAGGATGACAAGCATAGGGAAAATGAAAAAAAAGTTTTTTTTTCTCTTCTTCCTCGGCACAGGAAAAAAAAACCTTCCTCATTAATTTCTCAAATGACTTGTCATTACTCAGTATAACTCTTTGCAACATCATCATCGTCATCATTATAATCATTGTAGAGTAATTTTTGTGTTGTAGACAAACGAGGGAAATTGTAAGCAAAACATGATCAAATATCATTAATAATGATGATGTATATAGTGTGATGAGGAATTATGCGGCATGTGTGTAAAGTTGTACATGAAACATGTTAAGCCGAGGAGAAATTATTATGATACTTTGTGGATGTTGCTGTGCAACAATCTTTACTTTTCTCGATGTATAAACATAAAGTTAAATTTCATCAGAAACCTGACTATTTAAAGTTTTATAAAATTAAGCGAGGTTTGGGCGAATTTTTCTTGTGTGAATTTCAGGAGCGTAGCCAGGAATTTGAAGAGGGGGACAAAAAAAATTTTATATGGAAAATTCTGGGATTAATGATTGTTTCATAAAACTTCTAGCAGAATGAAGAAATTTCTGCTAACGTCGGGGCATTTGTCCTCCAAATCCCCCCTGGTTACACGCCGGGTGCACTTTTTTGTTGTTTAAAACTTGATTTGAAATTTGTTGTTAAAAACTTGATTAGAAGTTTTTACTAGTTTTGCAAAAAAAAAAGGATAAAGATTAATGATATGGATTTGCATACTAAAAAGATTAAAAATTGTAATTTGAGATAAGATTTTTCGGTGCAAATTTGAGGAATTTATGAAAATTTCAGGAATTAAAGTTGCGTACAAAGGCTTGCGTTTCCAACTTCCTAAGTTTTTCATCATAAATTTCAAACCGACCCATGACCCTTAATCTCGTTGAAAATGTATGACTACGGAATGCCAAGAAATTCTCAGAGCAATGGATGTCTTGATTTTAGTGGCAACCGAGCTTTAACATTGGAATCAAGATTAGCAATCTAGAGAGTTTGGTTTTTTGAATCGTTTTAGAATATTTCATAGGAATGAGGCGTTCGTGACTTGAACTCCTGAATAGCACAACTCTGTTAATTGAATCGATATCTTGCACCAAGCTGACATGACTTTAGCATGGTGCCGGCTACGATTTTAATCCAGCTTTAAGTTGGTATGACTCTAGCATGTTGTCAGCTTCGATTTAAATCCAGCAGCATGGTTACACTGGCTTGATGCCTGCTTTATAATCGATTAATTGACTTGTGTTATTCTTTTTTCTTGTATAACATTAATAAAGCAGCATTAAAAATATCTTCAAGCTCTGCAAATTAATTTAATATTTTTATCTTAAATTGATTTCCAAGTTTACCAAAATAATTCCTTCACGTGCCTCAATTCATCAATATCCGGACATGCTTCAAAACTTCCTAAAGGCATTTTATAATCAAAAATAAATTTAATCTTCTTTATTCCTAGAAAAATCCCACGAATGTTCTATTTACATCCTCAAATTATTCGAAAGAAGAAAGATTTCATTACTTTTGGCTATTGTCATGCCTTGTTTATTTTGAATGAATTTCAAATAATTTGTTTTACAATACTCAAAATTAATAAATGCAGGACAACTTAAAAATGTTGAATTAATTGTCAGAAACAGCAAGAATAGTTCCCAATGGAACAAAAGACGAGATGATTACATTGTGACAAATATTTAATTACACCCTTGTGGATGCTCCAGGGGGGAAACAACTTGATGAAAAAATTTTCATCGCGATGGGAAATGCTGGAAAATGATCCATCGTAGTGGAAAATTTCGATTAATTTTCCATCAAAGTTTTTTTTCCACCAAGTAGTTTTCCCCCTGAGATGCTCTCAAGTTCCTTTTACTTTAAAATTTGACCTAAAATTTCTTTCCATTTTACTTCTCATTTCAGCCTTACCATCACCTGTCCGCAACTGCTCAATTAACAATCAAACGCAACATTCACTTGAGATTCAATGTTTACCTTCCTATGACGGTGGACTACCGCAAATATTTTTACTTGAATTGATAGCAACGAAAAGTGGAAAATTGAGGTAAATGGTCCATGACTTAAATGCCTCTTTGATGACATTGCCGAAAAAAAAATAAAATGTGGAAGGAAGAAAAAAAAAGTTTATTTTGTGGATGTGCCTCATGCCATTGTAGGACAGAAAAAGAAACAAATTTATATGTATACCGTGTACACAATTACATTACTCTTTTGTTTTGGGGACAGGAGTCGTTTGGGTGTTAAGTGGATGGGCAAGACAATGAGATTGCATTTTGTCAGACTTATTGGGAGTCTTCAGGCGCGTAGCCAGGAGGGTCTTGTCCCTCCCCTTACACGCTTTGAACCGTAGCGAGAGCACGGCCTAAAACGCTTAAGAGGGTGACAATACCCTCCTGGCTACGCGCCTGGGAGTCACAGATGGTTCAATACGCTAAAAACGCTAGTGATTTGTCTTGGAGCCTTGGTATGCTGGCTTGCTGTTGGCTTCACTTTGAATCCTAGATTCTGAAATGATAACAACTGGTGCCTTTAAAAATGCGCTTCATTCCCCTGCCAACCACCATAACCACCATAATTTCAACTTATAACAAAATTGTTTGTCCTCGAATAACTTCATATGTGACCATCATAATGTATTTTGTTACTACACTTGTGTGTATTTATGCGATGTTGGGTCATAAAAAAATTAATGGGGATAAGATGAGAATGAAGAATAATGACAGTTTATTTTTAAGCTATCCAGTCCATGTGATACATTCACATTATACTTATTTATGTAATTATTGACACTGTGAGGGAAACTTTTATTGCTGGTTTAGTTTTTTGCTGCTCGTGTTGGCCTGCGAAGGTTGACTGTAAATTTTTGGGGAGTATTTTATAGCTTAATTGTCTGGAAGGTTTTTTTTTCTCGAGGATTGTTTAGTTTTTTGTGTGTGGAATATTTAATTTATTGGTTATGGTTTTGGATAATAGTCAGGTTATATTTCTTTATAATGGTTAAAATACTAGCACAAAGAGTTATGACTGTAAGGAGTCAGGTCATTTATTTACAATGGCAAATTTTTGTGCGTGGCTTTTCAACAGTTTAGTGACATTCAGCAGCGATACAGGGGAATGAAAACTAAAATAATCAGCCACAGCAAAACGAAATTCCATTTCACATTAGACATTGACATACACAAAATTTAACGACAAATGGCATGAGACGAATCCAGTGACCTATAAAATCCACACTTACATCCATGTGTGCTAATATAAAATGTACATAGAAATAGCTCGAAATTATTTATCGATTAATTTACAACAGATTAAACTTAACAAATGCGGATGAGCCCTTATTCATTATCGAATCATTGGATGCCTATACATCGTATGATACATACGGAGATGATGCTTTAAAAGTAGTAATATTCTCTGTCAATCAGAAAGGACGTAGTCATGGTGTGGTTGTAAAAGAATTTTTATTTGATAATAGCATAGAAAGTAGAGCAGGTATGTTATTATGAAGGGAGCATATTCATGCAATTTTAATCTCTTACACGTACCTGGAATATTCCTTTTAATACTTTTATCCATTGTTTTATAGCGATAACAAATGCAGCTCTAGATCTCTCGCCTGTATTACTAGGTGTATTATTTACACTCTTATTGCTTTGTAGCGTAATTTTTGCTAAAGTTTATTGCAATCGCGCATCAACGACGATGAGAGACTTGAATGGAGACATGAAACAGAATATGAATAGCATCAGCTATAAGCATGATGCACAAAAGGTAAATTTTTTTATATATATAAATACTAAGTCTTTTGAATATTATGACTGTGAAAGTTTATAATTTAAGTGCTACATTTAGTGTAGCTTTGTACTAGCTTGTCATCTAGTGAAGCTATAAACATGACATTTGGTTTAGCTACTAGCTTGACATCTAGTTAAACTACTAGCTTGATATCAAGTTGAGGTACTAGCTTGACATCAAGTTTAGCTACTAGCTTGACATCAAGTTGAGCTACTAGCTTTACATCTAGTTAAGCTACTAGCTTGATATCAAGTTTAGCTACTAGCTTGATATCAAGTTTAGCTTCTAGCTTGACATCAAGTTCAGCTATTAGCTTGATATCAAGTTTAGCTACTAGCTTGACATCAAGTTCAGCTATTAGCTTGATATCAAGTTTAGCTACTAGCTTGACATCAAGTTGAGCTACTAGCTTGACATCAAGTTCAGCTATTAGCTTGATATCAAGTTTAGCTACTAGCTTGACATCAAGTTGAGCTACTAGCTTTACATCTAGTTAAGCTACCAGCTTGACATCAAGTTAAGCTACTAGCTTGACATCTAGTTAAGCTACTAGCTTGATATCAAGTTTAGCTACTAGCTTGATATCAAGTTTAGCTTCTAGCTTGACATCAAGTTCAGCTATTAGCTTGATATCAAGTTTAGCTACTATCTTGACATTAGTTTAGCTACTAGCTTGACATCAAGTTGAGCTACTAGCTTGACATCAAGTTGAGCTACTAGCTTGACATCAAGTTTAGCTACTAGCTTGACATCAAGTTGAGCTACTAGCTTCTCTTAAAACAATAATTTAAAAATGATTTCAATTATTCCTCAAGAAGAATACTCGATGGGAGAATGGAGACGGGAAGACAAAAGATCTGAAATCGTCAATGGATATGCAGGAGGATGAAAAAGATCCTGATGTAATTCCACATGGGAAAAAGACTGAAAAGACATTGAATGCTGTGTCAAAAACAGATAATTATGGTAAGTAGAGCGTAAATAGTGCATTTGTATGGATGTCCTGAAGGATGTTAAAATCCTAATGGACACATTGAAATTGAAGCTCTTTGTCCATGAAAAAAAATTATGAAAATTAAAATTTATTTCAATCTCACTCAACAGCATTAAACAATGATGATGATACAGTAACAAATACAGAATGGACATGCGGATCCGTCAATTCTTATGTAAGACCATCAAAATTTCAAACGTATTTCATTTGAATGACGCAAAACAAATAATTTTGTAAATATCTTCATAAAATCCGTTTTTAGTACAATCAGTTCATGCATCAAAATACGCGACTCAAAGAAACATCGTCACTGTCAACAGAATCGACACTAATCGCTTCAACGCCAAAATCACAATCGATAGCATCAAATTGTCACATTGAAGTGACATCATCGCTCAGCACAAATCCATTTCAGACGTCTAAAGTAAATGGAGAAATTTCATCAAATACTATTGATTATGATTTCAATATAAATGCTATCAAAACTTTACTGATGACTACAAAAGTTCCCGAAAGCTGCGTGTGAAAAACTTTTTTTATTCTTTTTCATATCTTGAAACTTTTTTTATTTTCTGAGGTGTACTTACTGTGTAAATATTATAGAACAAGCATATAAATTATGAATAGGAAGAAAATATGGAAAAAAATGAAGAAAAACTTTGTCGATGAAAGAATGTCAATTAAAGAAGATTCTTTTTTATGTCTGTTTGAATGACTGAATGGAAGTTTATTATTTTGTGTGGATAGAGGAATTAGTGAGCAGCTTTCTTCGACAGTTTCAGCTATAGATTATGTTCAAGTGACTTTTATACTCAATTCAATTAAAATGAAATAAATTAAATCATTGTTTATGGATACAAGCGACATTAAGTGGCACCAACTAGATAGGCACATCCTGGACCATAGATTTCGATAAAATACTCAGTCCTCTAGTTAAGCTCGGTGGTAATCTCCGTGAAATGAGCATCTTGAATTGGAATCGAGCCCAGACTTTAGGAGAATCAAAATGTGTGAAGGGCCGAGCTTTTCAGCTTAGGGCACTGTGATTCAATTTGTAAAGAATCTATTGTACCCCACCCTTTAGACCTACAGTTTATAGTGGGATCCGAACCACTTGCAAGCTCTGCACATTGCAAAGACACTAGTACGTCATAAGACAATGTATCATGCAATGTATCTAGTCACAATTCGTGTGCGCAAAATGCCGTAAGGAAGTCATCCTGGTGCTAGTATATCCTTGTATACCTAGCAAAGGAAGCACATTCTGTGTCAAAAACATCAATACTACACCCAACACACGAACCAAGCTTTGAAACGAGAACGGTGAAATGGAAAAATAGCTTTTAAAACTTGACTTGGCCTGGGATTGAACCCAGGACTTTTGGTATGGAAGGCCAACGCTCTACCCTGCTCTACCATTTAGGCCACTGAAGCCATTTCACCACCGCTGATTTTAGGAGAAATTCCAGTAATATAGTAAATGATGAAATTTTCAAAGCATTTTTCTAGACACACTCATGACCAAGGCTTAGGATTAATTCTGAAAAAACACAAAGATCCTTAAAAAATTCCCGAGTCAATAACCATGAAAATGTGAGATCCTTGAGGCCTTTGATGAATAATTTCGGGATTTAAAAGCGATGCTGTTTCCTCGCCTTGCTCACACCTAAAGACTAGGGTGATCAACGAAAGTAATTTCATCGTCAATGTGCAATCTTTATCCTTACCTTCAATTTAACGAAATTCAATCAAAAAGTTTTAAATCTCTTCGAAAATTTTAAATTGACCGTCCCATTCGTTACAATCTTTCTTGTCATATTTCTCTTTCCTTCAATATTTTTTCTCATTTTTATAAATTCTATGTATTGATCTATACATGTGTGTATTAGAATCTTTTCAAAGAGCTTCATTTTACGGAAGAAAAGTTTCTATAGGTTTCATAACTTTCTCAATCCTCTTCCTTATTCAATTGACGATGACGACCTTAGGAAAAATTCATTTCATTTTTGCGGTAAATTTTTCTTATTGAAAAGTTGTTTTTTACCTTGTTTAAGTTGGGGGTTTTTTGGTTTGATGCTCGGTTTGGGAGTTGAGTTGGTTTACTTTTGGAAGGTCAGTTGAAAAATGGACGTTAAGATTGAAGTGAATTTAAATTTAAAACTTACTTTAGAGCAGTATTGGTCAACCTTTTTAGTGTCACTGCACACCTTGATGGTAAACCATAATCGGGAATTTCTGAATGTTTTCTCGGCACACTTGCTGCTTTAGAGGCCACCATCCCTCTCTATTTTACTCGATCTGATTACCTTATGCTTCACGAATTTTGAATTATTTCTCACCTCTCAAATCATCCCAACTAATTTGTTCAACCTCCAATCACTGAAACCTCCAATCTTAATCTTAATATTCCCTCATCTGACAAAAAACCTATCGAAATCTGATTTATTGAGCTGAAAGTAAGCAAAAACTTTTTTAATGCCAGTCAAAAAAAAAATCTCTATCTGCTTTAACCTTTCTGTAAATAAAGTTGTAAATATACTAAAATAGACTTGGAAAAAGTAATTTAAAAGTGGAAAGATCAAATATTATAAAGATGGCAATGGGGGAGAAGTTTTATTCTAGATTGGAAGAGCAGAACGGAAATTATATGGCGCTTGGCTTGGGCAAAATGTGTACACAAAAAAAAATAATAATACGAAGAAAAGCAAAGTTTTCTTGCTGACTTTAACGTTTTTTTCTCTCTTCCTCCTGTAAATAACGACTTTTGTGAGGTACAAAAAAAAATAAATTTTTGATAGGTAGAATTTGCGTTGAATGAAAATTGTTGCCTTCTTCATCTTAAGTTTGTGTTTACTTTGACTTTGCAGTCAGGAAAGAAGGCAAAAAATAGTTTACCGCATCCTCTGATTTATTTTCTCCTGCTTTTTCCTTGTTTAACTTTCTTGATGGAGTTTCTGAAGACTTTACTTGTTTTAATAAGTTTGTAGTTGTAATTGAAAATTGATTTACATTAGCAACTTTTTTTTTGAAATTGGAATTAAAATTTAAACTAGTAACGCGGTGGTTACTCGTGACCGACGGAAGTGCACTTCTCCTGCACAGAATTCGATCACAAAGTTAAATTTTTAGCCAATAAACATGAAAACCTGAAATTCCTTTTAAATCCCGAAATTATTTATCAAATGCATCAGGGATTTTAAAGGGATTTCACATTTCCTTGTTTATTGGTTCAAGAATTTTTTTTAGGATTTTTGGGATTTTTCACGATTAATCCTGAGTTTCCACGCCTTGACTAAAAAGTATTTTGAGACTCAAGAGCAATAAGGTTGCAATAATATGAAAAGGTTAAGTAAGGTTTTTATGCCATCTGAAATAGTTTAAATACTTTTCACATGGCTTTTCCTTGCGAGTAATAAATAAAATAATAATAATAATAATAATAATGAAGCGAATGGTTCGATTCTTTCTTGAGATTAACCAGCTTCAATGTGAGAATTTTTTACAATTTTATACAAACTTTTTGTAAAATTGAAAAAAGTCTCAAAATCAAATTTGTTCTAGTTTTATGAACAATAAAACTCATTTTCGCACAAATTAACCAAATACTATTCACAACAACATACAAACGAGCTATATAATTAATGATATCTTTTATTGCCAGAGGAAGCAGTATGTCTAAATCAATGCATAAATTATACAAATATTTATAGAAATTATCTTGAAAATCGAGTCTCAATTCTAAGAATGAATAAAAATAGAAGCAAATTTTTTTGATTTTAACGCTTTACTTACAAGTTTTTTTCTTCGTTTCCATTTTGGAGGTGTGGCATGCGTTCATCTTCATAGTCATAAGAGTGGATTTTTAGGAGAAAGACAGGAATGGCAATCAAGTTGATGACGTTTTATAGTTTTTGCAATTTTGGCGCCAAAATGTAGGTTTATAAGCACGTGCAATTGAACTTAAAAATTTCACTAAAGATGAAAATCAAGCTAATCCTAAGAGCTTTTTGTTCAAAGTCATTTGATCAAATTTCCAACTCTGAAAAGCCATACATGACACAAACATCCAAATCTAAGCATCTTCAACAGGTGAATGAACTTCAGCAATAAAAAATCTTTGTCAATTTTCATATTTTAAGTGTGGATTCATTTTCAGGAGATTATAAACATTTTATTTGGAATTATGTTAATATTTTTTTTATTGATTATTAGTTGCCAATTTCTATTGTTGCTCCCTGGCGATGAAAAACTATTCTTATGCAATAAATATCTGATTTTTTTAACGAATTTTTGATTGGGAATTCTTCATCATGTGATTTGAGTTTTTTTTCGGGTTTTTAAAAGAATGTGCGTAGGTTAAGCGACTGATTTGGTTAAAATAACTGATTAATTAGATTTTGATCATCTTTGACAACTTTTTGATCATTTTTGACAATTTTTTGATCATATTTGATCATTTTTGATAATTTTTGGTCATTTTTTGCAGATAGTTTAAATTCAAGAATTGTGACCGTTAAAGTTTCTTAGTAAACTTTAAAAAATTGCTTATTTGTCTGTCTGTCATGCAAAATTCGATATTCTTAGCTCCTTTTTCAAAAATTTCGAAATTCCTAGACATTGGAAAGGTTTTCGAAATTGAATTTCCATCATCTGGTTTTTTGATAATTTTTGATCATTTTGATCAGTTCCGCACTATTGGTACAACTATAAAAGTTTAAATTCGTTCGAAAATGATTTATTTGCTTATAAACCACTCACTGAGCTCAATTTATGTCAAATTTTATGAAATTTTGAAACTACAAATTCAAAAGTATTAAGTATAAAGTCAACTCTATCTTATCGACCTTCATTTGATAGAAACGAACTTATTCTCAATTTCTCATGGAAGTAAAGTGCAAACACATATATTTATTTTTTGAAAATTTTCTTTTCATTTCAAATGAAAAATTTCAAGACTTGAAACTTGTTCTTCCATTTTGACTCTTTTGAATTGAACTACGATGGCATACGTGTAGGAATTCGATACATTTACGACTGAATATGAGCTGAAGAAGAAAAGCTTCACTTTCTCCACTTTAAATTGAATTTGTTTTTCTCTTCTTTATTTAGTGAAAAATTTTCTTCATGAATGAGTTTGAAATGAATCGTTTGCATGCGACTTCAATATTGTATTACGAATTGGAATTTCTTCTTTCATTTAAACTTTATTGAGTGAGTCTGGAAAAAATGTCTTGAATGAATGTGGAATGATTTTGTGATAACGATATTTAAAAAGTTTGATTTTTATATCCAATGCGAAAGCTTCCTTTCATTTTAAAAAAGCTTTAATTTTTTAAAGTAAAAACTTGTAAAATAAATGAAATATGTCAATTTAATGGGTTTAAGTTTTTTTTGGGATTTTTAAATGAATTTGGTTTTTGATATAGAGTTTTTTTTAAATTTTCTTTAATTTTAAAAATGTTTTTTTTAATTCTAATCAAATTTAATGTTTCTGATTTATTTTTTAAAATCTATTTAAAATTTTTTTTCAAAATGAAATAAGAAGAAAGTTGAAATATCTCCAAAATGATTTTTTAAAATTAAATAATAAGAAAAATGTGGGAAAATAAATTTAAATCAAATTTTTAACACCAGTTAAGTGATAGTCAGTAATAATAGCTGTTTATATATTTAGATATAATAAATGAAACAATGTGTTACAATAAATCAAATGATGAAAAGAAATATGATCAAAAATATGTCCAAAAATTGTTTTGAATTATTTTGTGTTTAATATTTGAATTTTTTTTTGTAAAACTTTAATTTTCAGGACTCAAATAATTTCAGCGATTTTGACGGGTTCGTAGGAAGATTTCCTGCGGTCAAAACTCAGTATTATTTACACTAATTTGCCTAAGATTCAAAAGCTTTTTTCAACAAATCTTAAAAAAATTTAAGACAATTATTGAAAATTCTTTCAAATTTCAAAGCTTAAAAAACTTATCAATTTTTTTTAAATTAATTTAAAAAGATGTGATTTACTTTTGACCATTTCCATTTTTCTAAAAGACATTCAAGAGAAATTTAGATTTTTTTGATGATTTGCATATTTAAAAATATTTGCAAGCTATTTTGATTCTTTATAAATTTGCATTTATTAAGTTGGGAAATCCCCCAGAAAAAATCCAAAATTTAAAATCTTAATTTTGATCATTTACTTCATTAATCAAGTTTCTCTTTGTACAGAAGTGTAGTCAGGAGGGGGATTTTGAGGACATCAGCGATATTTCTTCATGCTGTCAGGGTTTTAATGAAAAAATCCTATCCCCACCATCTTAAAATTTCCAATCCATATTTAAATTCCTAGCTACGTCTCTGTCCTTATACAAACTAGTATGTAAAATTCATCCCAAACATATATCAAGCCTTCCCATGTGACTATGACTATTAACATTTTTCTATAAAAAATGTATATTTCTAGCATTAAAAAATAGCAGAAAAAACAGTCTACATCTTAAAAAAATGCGGCCTGTTGTTGAAATTTCCCCAAAAATCTAAAAACCAGTTTAGCGCAAAAAATAACGATTGTCATTCTTTAGGGCCAATGACTAGATTTTTATTGCCTAAAACGTTTGACGGTTGAGATACAAAAATGAATTTTAATTTTTTTTTCTGGAGGAAATGTGATGCCATCAACAGGAATTTCGACAATTTTTTCGATTTTCGTTTATTATTTAAAAAATTAATTCAAAGATGCAAAGTACATAAAGTTTGTGGCAAGTTTAGGAAGTTTTTTTTAAATTACATTCATTTGAGACGTCAAATTTTAATGATTCTAATTCACAAAATTTTCGATTTAACGAATAACATTTGTTATCAAAATTTTATGACTTTAGTTTTGTTAAAAACATATTTTTTAAGTTCCAAATTCAATTCAAAATGTTTGCATATTTAATCAACCCGGTAAGTTTAGTTTAAAATTTTGTTAAATTTAAGTTGAAAATTTATCACTTTTTTAATTTTATCCAATTATTTCTAATGTTTCACTTTAAGTAATATCCAAAAATATGAAATTTTTTAAGTATCCTCATTGTTGACTTCATGCACTCTAAACTCACAGAGATGATAAAGGATCTATTGACAAATTAGATGTAAGGATCGCTTATCATTTCTATAAAAATGTAATGCATGCAATTTTTTGATGTTAAACATTCACAAAACAAATAAAATATTAAATTTTTGCACCACGAACATCTTCACCGGACAACTTAAATCAGACAATTAAACCAATAAAAGAAGATGAAGTTTTTTATATATGATCAAAAAAAAAAATATCAAATGGCAAAAAAATCAAAGAGACAAAAATTAAAGAGAGAAAAATTAAAAGAGATGAGATTTTGCGAGGAAATTTAAACAAAGCTTAAATGGTTGAAGATGTTAGCTGTTGAGAACTTACACTGAATTGAGACTACGCATAATAAATTATGATTGAATTGTCATATTTAAGATAGATTTAACAATATTTCATTTTTTACAATCGAATCGTTTGCAAATGGATTGCATGATGAATTTTGAAGCTCCCAACTCTAATAATAATAATAATGTGTGAAGGGCCGAGCTTTTCAGCTGGAGGCATTATGATTTAATTTGTAAAGAATCTATTGTACCATACCCTTTAGGCCTACAGTTTATATTGGTTCCTGAACTACATGCAAGCTCTGCACATTGTAAAGACACGAGCCAGGGGTTGACACGATTTCATCTTGATGAAAAATTTCTTCATTCTATTGTTAAAATGATTTTTTTGTGTGAAAAGATGAAAAAAGATGAAATCGTGTCAACCCCTGGGACACGAGTACGTCACAAAACCTGATGTCCCAACTCTAGCTTTTATTAATTTCCTGCAAGTAAAATTACTTAAATGAGCCTTACCGTAATTAGCGCAATAGTTCCTGCACAATTCATCAATATATCCGCAATAACTTGTTATCCGATCACAATTCAATACAAAAAATCAAAAAGTCTAATACTAATTATCACATTCTCATTTCCTTCATTTCTTTATCCCTTCGGAATTCTCCTAATAATTTTCAACGATCCACAACAGGTGATGAATGACATTTTGTCACCAAATTGTCTCATTTGCATTTACTTCACTCGTCAAAATGATTTTTTTCTATTCAAATGAATCACCAGGAAAAAGTTTTTTAATTAATGGTTCCATTATCATTACTTTTGCTCCTTCATTTATCGTTCGTTGGCTTCTCATTCTTTTCTAAACAACCTTGGAGTTAAGAAGAAGTGGATGACTTTTAGCTATGATGAAGAAATTGTTGTGAATCATAGTTATGCATATTTCTGTAATGTTCTGTTTGGTGCTTTTAATGGAGTTCGTTTGGTTATTTTGAGAATCTATGCTGAATTGTTGGAATGACTACACATACTGCTAGTCAATCTGTGTATCCCAGATGAAAATTCGGATAATGAAATAAAAATCAGGGCCCAAACTGGCGTAACTCTGGCTAGTACTGGATCCGATTTGAAGCATTAAACGAGAGTCACACCAGCTTGGTACTGAATTTCTATTCAATTAACTGAATTGTGCTGCTCGGGTATCCACATGTTCATAGATTTTCTTTAAAACTTCCCTTTTAACTGCTCACTTCACTTGCTGTCTGCTTGTCTTTCATATTTTTTGTCACTTAGTCTTTAATTTTTTAGTTCCTTATCCCCTCTCTCAAATGCTATTTCCATAACAAAATTTATATATTTTTACAATTTACGCACACAAAAATTCCACTCAAATATCCAAGAACATAATTTTTAAAAATTTACAACAAGCCTAACCTTTAATACACACATCTATGACTTGTATATTTCACCATCTCCTCATAATCGTTTGTCATTCGATTTCTTTTATTTCAAGCCATTCATTTGCCTCAAAGAAAAATTTTTTGCTATGAAATGGGAGCGCACGTGGAGGCAAAACTGATACAGACACAATATTTTGTTTCGTCAATGTGTAGGCCTCGTTTAGATCCTTAGCACAAAATAATGAGCTAATTGATTTTCATATTCTGTGCATGATTAGCTGATGAAATTGCCTGGAAATAAAATTTGTGTTCTCCACCCTTAATTTGAGTGCTTGGTAGGCACAAAATTCAAGAAACTGCTAGAGATATAGACAAAGTTGTCAAAATCTTCGGGTCAATGACTGTTTTGCCGCGGAAACATTTTTGCAATCGATCAGCATTTCGCATCGTCTATCGAGGCCATTGATACACACGATCATGATCACAGAAAGTCTGTTGCAAAATTATGAATCTTAATTCACGTTGCGTTATGCATATGTCACTATCATAAAGTCAAGATAATAGTCTTCACGTGCGACCGACTTTAGCGTATTGATTAGTGTCATCGGAGAGTGTGAATAGATGCGTTGTGAGAGGTTAGACTGCCTCTGAGCAGTCCATTCTTCTTAAAACTTAAATATGAGATTAATTAGAAATTAAACTGAATTCTTTAAGACATAAAATTATCAAAATTGTCACACAAATTAATTTTTTTTGAAGCATTAGCTTGAGAACTTTTTAATGGTAACTTTTTGTGTGTTTAACGACGGATTTGGAGAGAGAAATTAATTCTTCAGAGATTTGATTAATTGAATTTAAGATTTTCTAAGACCGTCTCCATTTATTCTCAAAGTATTCATAAATTTTATTGATGCTTTACTATTGTGGCAATTTTTAAGGGGACAATCAGATGCTAAGGAGCACAGAGGTTCTCAATTTGAGTACTTCTAAATCTTAGCCCAATCAGCACACATTGATATGATTGCTAGTCGACAGCCAGGTTGATAGTATTATTAGAACCGAGCCGCACTTAACTGGCAAATGCAGCCACGTGGCAACCACTTGGTCCCGGCCGACGGGTGACAAACATTTCAATATGTACCGATCGGGTAGATTAGAAAAACTAAATAATTGAAAAAATTATTATTATTTTTTGCACCACAACTAAGCCTTAATAGTCTACAGCAGTGGTGTGCAACCTTTTTTGTTACTCGGCACACCTTGGTGGTAAGCCATGACCGAAACCAAACACGGCATACGAGTCGTGAAATATATTAAAGTTTTTTGCGGTACACTCGTGTGCCGCAGCACATGGGTTGTCCATCACTGATCTACAACATGAATTTAAAAGTATTTTCACTTTCACTATGATGTAACTTTTAACATATCCACAAAAAAAATTTAAACACCTTAAAAATGTTTCAAAATTGCTTATTTGATTTCTTCTATTTTGTTTTTCGCAAGTTTAATGAACCTTTTTTGTAACCATAAAAAAAATCTCGTCAAAAACTTGAATATTTTGTATTACATTTTCTAGTCACTCCTCCTAAACCTGTTTTGGATAATATTACAAATATTTGACAAATATGGACATTCTGCACAGGAACGTAAAAAATTACAAGTTTTCCTAGACTTTTTGTAAATTTTTTCGAAGATCAATGACACCTGGATTTACATTTATAATCAATAGCTTTGTTTTGCCACAAAATAGATTTTTTTTACAGTTTTTAATTATATTTTCTTGTTAAACATTTCATTTTTAAAATCACCCCGAAATAAAACAAAAAAATGTTCAACTAATGATTCCATTAAAGCAGTGATGTCCAACCTATGTGTCGCGGCACACTAATGTGCCAAGAAAAAATCAGAAAATTGCACGAATCGTGTGCCATGTGCAGTTTTGTTCATGAATTATAACCAAATTGTGCCGTGCTGCAAAAAAGGTTGGACACCACTGCATTAAAGTAATTTCTTGTCGTTCTAATTTTTCTGTTCCTTTATTAATGCTTGGTGCTGCCATATGACATTGAAGAAATTTTATCTGGCAACTTTTGGAAGATCCAATTGATCAGAAATCTAGCACATAAGTGGAAAATAAATCAAAACTTCTTGAACAATTTCTCAACGATCTTTTCCAATTTCAAACATAAAACTTCAAAAACTTTCACCCTAAAGCTCGAAAATTTATCCAAGACACAAAACTTTTTCTCACTTCAACCCAAACTCGATTTTATTTTCAAAACATTCTTCTCAGTTTGTTTTCATAGCTCTATCCAAGTGGTTGAAGAACAAGACAGCCAAAATGGTTCTAAAATTATATTACTTATCAGCATCTCCGCCTTCACGTGCAGTTCTTCTTGGAATACGCAATTTAGGATTAGAAGTGGACGTTGTCACCGTTAATTTATTTAAAGGCGAGCATTTGAAGCAGGAATTTAAGAATCTCAATCCAGTTCATCAGGTTCCAGTGATTGATGACAATGGATTTGTTTTGAGTGAATCGAGAGCAATTTTAGGATATTTGGTTAATAAATTTCAGCCAGGAAGTACATTGTATCCAGCAGATGTTAAAAAACGAGCAATTATTGATCAACGGATGTATTATGACACAAATGTTTTTGAGAGAAATGCAGCAGCTATTGTAAGGCATTTGAGATGAATTTTAAAAATAATTTTAATCAAGACCTTGAAAAAATTTTAGCGACCCATATTTCGTGAACCGAATCCTCCTCGACCTTCAGAAATCACCAAAGCTAAAATACGAGAATCAATGGAAATTCTAGACGGATTTGTCAGCAAAAGTTTGTGGTTTGCCGGCGACTTACCAACAATTGCTGACTTCTCGATTCTCTCAAATGTTGCACAAATCAAGGCTTGCGGTTATAAAATTTCAAGGCATGAGAACTTAAATCGATGGTACGAAATTTGCAAATCATTGCCAGGATTTGAGGAGAATGAAAAGGGAGCAATTAAGCTAGGAGATGTTTATCAAAGTCGAATTGGAAATCCATTTGAGACATATTGAAATAGCTTTTGTTGTCTTTATTTTGACATTACTTTGTATTAGTAAATATTCCTATTTTTTTGGAATAACATTGACTTTATTCCATTCCACTTATACGCGTGAAATTGTATTCCGTGCATGAATTTTAATCTCCTTTTGATAGAAAAATTCTAAATAAACTTATTATCGCTTTTTGATATTTTAGATGAAATTAATTTATTGGACCTTTTTTTGCAATTAGAGGCAATTAAGATAATTTTTATCACTTTTCAGTTCAAGGTTGAAGCATTTGCGACTCTTTTTTTTGGAGAAATTTTGGTGTGGGATTGAAATTTCGAATGATTACGAATTCAAGTACATTTCTTGATTATTTTAAGAAGATGTCCAATTGATTTCCTATTCAATGGAATTCATAAAGTAGATTTAAATTTCAAGTCTTGAATAAATTTGACTGTTGTTAAAAACAACTGCGTACTTTCATGAAATAACAAAACTATCAATAAACAGATGAATCCAGAGTTGTGAAACAGCTTCGCAAAAAAACGTCGGTCGTCGATTTATTTTTTATTGACGGACGATGATTAATCGATTCCGATAAAAACGACGATAGTTTGGCCGTTGACGTCGGTATTCACAACTCTGGATGAATCTTAATCACTGTATGAATGACCGAATCATAAATAATTTTGTCAAAATAAGATTCTTGATTTGAGAGACAATGTTCATCTGAACTTGCTCTTGAAAACATTATCGCTCAATTTTCTTTTCGAGTAAATCAGATTTCAAGTAATTTGATCTTTCAAAAGCATTTTTTGAATTATTTAAAAATTCAAGGTCAGGGCTTGCGAACAGCAATTCGAACCAACACTAACATTATCAAACAATTTCCAAGATATACATTGAATTGATATGTAAAAAATAGACCTAATTACAAGCTATTCATTGATTAGAACACGGTTGCGATACAGGCACCTGTGCACAGGTGAGAACCGTACAATTCCTTGATAACTTGTGAGGTTTTATTAGAATTTATATAGTTTTCTTAAAAAAAACCTTATAAATTATCAAGGAATTGAACGGTTCTCACGTGTGACAGGTGATTTTATCGCAACCCTAAATTAGAATATGATTAACAGCTTGATTTAGCTTTAGTAATTTGGATTGAGTGATTTCCAGGCAGTCTAGAGCATTAACGAATTGATAAAATGAGAATTTTCCAACAAAAACAAAAATATTTTTAATGAGTACGTTTAGAAATTTAAAATTTGAAATTTTATGGAAAATAAGCCATTTATGGAATAGTATAAGTCGGTCAATCAAATTGAAAACCCGCACTAAGCTGCAGTTACTCTGGCATTGTGCTGGACTCAAAAAGATCTCCAGATCTCTCCTCAGGCTTGGTGCTAGGTTTCTATTCGATTAACCGACTTGTGCTATTTGAGAAGATAGTTTCAAGTTTTTGAACACAAAAATAAGGACCGTTTGATTCTTACTTAGGGGCCGTTCACTTATTACGTTACGCAAAAAATCGACTTTTTTCAACCCCTCTCCCCCCTTGTTACAATATGTTACAACTCACGACCCCCCCCCCCCCCCCCCCCCCCCCTGAACGATCATAATTTATTTTATTTTGATAAAAAGGTTGAAAATTTAAAAAAATGTTTTTGGTGTGAATTTGTAAATTTTTTTGTGAACTTTTTTTTAAAAGACAGACGACGTTACATACTTCTTGAACCCCCTCCCCCCCTCCTATGTTACATTTTTTTACAATTTTTCAAAACCCCCCTCCCCCCTAAAATGCGAACGTAATAAGTGAACGGCCCCTTAGTTCATTCTGATACTGATTTAGACCAATCGATCAGTCAATCAGATTATTCCAATTTCATATATCAAACCCCTGTGAAACCAAAACAACTCTCAGCTTGGTTTTTTTCACAAACATATTGAGCTAATTGACTCATTCATGCATACGTTCTCTTTAATTTCTTTGTAAACAAGCCATAATCAATCCATTCTCGCTGCTCATTTTCTCTCTTTTCTCTGCTCACCAAAAAATTCTTTATCTTATCGCTGCTCACTTTTATTTTGTATTTTTAGAGTATAAATAAATAAATTGATAATTGAAGAAATATTTTTGCTCGCAATACACTTGTTGAGTATAGAAAATATGTTTCTCAGTTGCTCGCATATATTCACATAGTTTAGTCATGAGTCGTAAATTGCCGATGACTTTATATCACAATTGCTTCAGCCCACCGTCACGCATGGCAGTGCTGGCTGTAAGAAATTTGGCACTCGAAATTGACGTTAGAAATATTGACATCTACAAAGGTGAACAAAATACTCCAGAATATCTCAGAGTTAATCCTTTGCATCAAGTTCCATGCTTAGTTCATGAAAATTTTGTGCTGACAGAATCAAGAGCCATCATTATGTACCTTGCAAGTCTCACTGACTCACCGCTTTATCCAACAAACGATTTAAAGAAACGTGCCCTTGTTGACTCACGATTATTTTTTGATGCGACGAACTCATTTGTGGCTGTCAAAAATTTTGCGGTAAGTCATTATGAATAAACAGCGAGATAACGTGTGAAATTTATTGGAAAGTCGTGGTATAGGCTCTTTTGAAATCATTGTGTCTCTGTGTAGACTTCTAAGATTAAAAGACTTTATTGGTGATAAACGTTTTTTGAGTGGAACTGAATCGTGAATCTTTTGTGAACAAAATATACCTAGTTTAAGAGAATTTGGATTCTTTGAGCATGTCCAAATTTGTGAAAATCTTTAATTTATGGCACCTCCATCTGAGCTCTAATCATATCAATTTAAAATAAATGTAGTAATGCTTCAATCTGCTCCAAACAGACGTGGAGGTGCCCTGAAGTCAAAGGAATGGAATTGGCCATATCCTGCCTCTTAGGTCCTTCATTATCTTTTGATTGCAGAAGCATTGTCACAGAAAAAGTCAAATGAATCGGTTTTAAACCTCCAACTTGACACATCCTTTAACCTTGACACTATTAATAATTGAATTCATACCCAAACAAACCCAAACTTATCCAAATAGAAGAAATTTCGATCATGATACTACTTGAATAACTTAAACCTTTAATTCTGCACACATAGTCTTAAGCTACATTCCAATACGGTTGTTTTAAATACAAAATAGCGGTACCTGAATCATACCAACGATATAATTGCATTACTTTCATTCACAACGGTCAACAAGACACGAATTAAATCATGTTTACAAAAAAAATTTTTTTTAAATTATAGCGACCAGTTCTTCGATCAGGCGTCAAAAAGATTCCATCAGCAGCTCGAGAAGACATCAAAATTTTACTCAACACACTCGACTCGTTCCTTGATAAATCTGAGTGGTTTGCAGGCGATGAGATGACAATAGCTGATTTAGCGATACTCGCGAGCGTTGGAACTATAAAAGTATGAAATGATTATTGCTGTGCTATCATAAGTCTATAAATAGATAACGATTCATAATTATTTTTAGTGCTGGGGTGTGAACTTTAAAGAATTCCCGAAACTAAATGGATGGTTTGAGAAATGTAAGAACTTGCCTGGATTCTCTGAAAATCATGAAGGAAGTCAAGCATTGGCTGAGAAGTTATCGAAATTGCTGGAAGAGCCTTTATGGAAGTGATGATTAAACATCATTGCACTTGAAATTTTTTTACGAACAAGCGAAGTTCTTCAATTTCAATAAAAAAATTGTTATCGAGACCTTTTTTGTTATCTCTTACCTCACATAATTTTTGAGTAGATTAAACGTATATAAACAAAAAACATATATTGAAATCATATAGCAGTTTTAGTCACTCTTGACTCTTTCAGGGATGGAATCTCGATTGAATTTCTGTAGAACTTCACAATAACCAAACGTCAAAAGACATGATCTCTAGATGTAGACAAGGCATTAAACTAGTATCATTGTGTTGCGATAATCAACATCCAGTAGAAATCAAATACGTTTTTTTCACAACCTCAAAATCATAACATTAGCCAAAATCACCAAAATACTAGATCCTGGAACATGGAATATCAGGTCGGGAAACTTCAAGTATACAAGTTGATAAGCATGTGAAGACCGTACTACAAAACACACACTTTAAATTGTTTGATTATTCATAATTCATATTTAATTCCTTCAAAATATTTAACTTTGATAATCACGACGTGACAGGATGAGAAACTTATTTCACAAAAGTATTGAAGTACCCAAATACATCTTGGTACATTTTTGGAAGTAACATCAGAAATCGTAGCCAATGTTTTCGGTTTAAATCAATTTCTTTTTATTTTTAGGTGCAAAAAAAGCCATTTAACATCAATTTTAAGTATTATAACTCAACTTTATATGCATTACTTTGATTCGATGTTATACTTTGTCATCATAGAGCTATAGAAAGCTCGGAACAGCTCAGAACTTTACAATTTCCTTTGCTATGCCTATCGGCTCAATATATTTATAACCCAGAAACGAATAAATCAAGTTTATTAGCCTAAAATTCAACAATTAACCAATCTCTTGGAATAAGCTCTTCTGTTTGAATAAAACTGCACAGGTAACTGTCGTTTTGAATCTAAAGTCTTGATACTTCATGTTATATTCAGCTTAAGAACTTACAACTTGCTTAAACTTCCAAATAAAAAATCTCAAAATTTTCCTTCTTAAATATTTTATAGCCAAAAGAATTAAGTGCCAATGCCTTATTCATTTGTTTACACTCGAGTACATGCACAAGTTTCTCTCTTCTATTTTATTTCCTTATATCTCTTCCATATCTTATCATGCTATGGACAAAAATATTGTATTTATTACCATTTTCATAATTCACGTCGCATTCGTGTTTGATTTTCGATTTAAGCTAGTTGTGTAGCTAGAAAATAATTAAAATGCAGTGCATCAACAAGAAATTTACAGCAACTTTATACTGCAATGTTCATGGCGTGCCTAGTCAAATGGTTTTATTGACAATTAGAAATATTGGACTTGACATTGAATTAAGATACATTGACCTGTTTAAAGGCGAACAAAACACTCCAAATTTTTTGAAAATCAATCCACTTCATCAAATTCCAGTGCTTCATGTGGCTGAAGATAATTATGTAGTGACAGAGTCGCGAGCAATTATGCTGTACTTAGCAAATGTTACAAAATCATCGTTCTATCCAATTGAGCTGAAGAAGAGGTCGATGATTGATTCGAGGTTGTTCTATGATGCAACAACTGCCTATCCAGCTGTGAAGCAGTTTGTGGTGAGTTACTCGGATTGTGATGGGAATGTTTATTAACAATTAGGGTTGCTTTTGATTGGAAATAAAATTCAGACGAGGAATTTATCAGACATTGTGTCTCGTTTGAATTAAGAAGGCTTAAAGGATTTATGAGCGACTCTTAATCGTCATGTTTAAAAGCACCAACTTAATCTCAAAGCAATAAATTGAAACATATTTTTTTCAGCATCAAATTCTTCGCGTTGGCGTCAAGCGACTCCCAAATGAAGTCCGTGAAAACATTGAAATCGTTCTCAGCACACTCGATTCAATGTTGATTAATTCAGATTGGTTTGCGGGCGATGAACTAACACTAGCTGACTTTGCATTTCTACCAAGCGTAGAATCGATAAAGGTGCTGCTTATCATACAATAAAAATGTTTTTAAATGTTCAATGACTCACGTTTGCTTGTTTATTTTACACAGTGTTGGGGCGCAGACTTCAAGAATTATCCACGATTGAATAAATGGTATGAGAGATGCAAGCCATTACCAGGATTCCAGGAAAATCATGAAGGAGCGAAGAAATTGGCTGATAAATTGGCTAAAATGATTGACGAGCCTTTATGGAAAGTATAAGCTAAATGATGAACATTTTAATAATTTTATGAATTTAAAATAAATGATTTTTGGAGGAATTGAAGTCTTCTTAATTTTATTTCGTAAAAAACTTTAAGTTAAATATAATTTCAGAAGTTTGAAGCTACAACTTAAGATTAGAATATATTTCCAGCTCTACAATTTATCCTGAAGCAGGCATTTTATCGAGTTCATAAGCCAAGAAGCAAATAATTGTAGAAACTCCTGGAAGCATCTCTTCTGTGCTGAACTTTTGCAAACTTATTAAGTCACTAGCTGATAGTCCTCCATTGAACAATAAACTTTCAATAAAAGTCTTTGTCTGTTGTCCAAGAAGTTCAAAACTTGTTCTTTGGTTGGCATTGATGAAGTCAAAAATTTTAGTTCTAACTGAAGAACTCAAGCTTAAATATTGACCGACGTATGGTGAGCAAATGTTATTTGGTAAGCCTCCTCCTGTGGGAATTTCTTCTGTTGTTGTGGTTTCTTGAGTTGTTGTGATTGGAACTGTTGTGGTTGTTAAGAATGTTGATAAGATTGGTGACTCTAAGATTAATATAAGTTCAGAAATTGAAAATATTTATTTTTTTGAAAAAAGTCAAAAATCAATAAAATTTCAAGTCATACCGAAATAAGTGTCAGCTCCTCCAAAACTCCCTAAAAATAAAAAAATAAACATCACAATTTTGAGGTTATCAAAAGCTTTAAAACTTGCCCATTACAAAAATTGAGGCGATCAATAGGATTGCAAAAGTAGCTTTCATTTTAAATTTGATGAATGTTAAACTTTTTCTTGGCTTGACTTAAAATCTTACTCAGCTTATATACTCGAAAATCGAGAGTCAATTCGCATTAAAGTTTACGATTTGCATGAAAATTTTAAGAACTTCTTAACACATAAAATATTAATGGTGGACTTTTTGGGATTATGTCGGAATTGGCTGATTTTAAGTTTTCGAAGTTAACTGTCAAGTTCCGACTTTATTGTTCCATTTTCTTTTCGAACCTTTTTATTGTTTCAAAAGTTTATTTTGTCATAAATTTTAAGCACGTGTCAAAAGCACGATCAATTCGTCTTTAAAAATTAATTGGTAAATTAGGATAGAGCTAGGATTTTAGAAAGGGTGGATTTGGAATGTCTCCTAGTTCCTGATATGACAATACATTAAGTCCTATCATCATTGTGACATTTCCTTCCAAAAAAATGAGAAAAAGTAGGTTTGTTGAAATTCATGCAGTCAGTAATTGATTTTCTTTCGAGGAATTTCACGACTTTTTTTCCATTTATAAGTGGACTTAAGTTTTTTTTTGTTGGTTCAGTCAAATTCAGTTTAAACTGTAAAATTCACAATGAAGTCGGTTCTCTTGACTTTATTCTTAATTCTCCTTTCTGGTGAGCGCGAAAAAAAAAATAAATTTCAACAAAATTCTAATCAGTTCCATTTAGCAAAATCTGTCTTTCCAGGAATAATTAGTAAAAGCAGCTCTGTATGCTCAACATACCTTAATGCTTATTATAGTTTAAATTCACAATTGCGAGATGAAATTCATAATTTTATTCAGAACAGCAATCAAATAAATTTTAAAATACTTTGTGAGAAGACCAAGGAATTTATAGGAAATATTATGACAGAATCAACAATTAGTTCTGACGATCGAGAAATTTTGACAATATTTTATGATGAAAATATTATTCAGAAAATTCCGTCAGTGGTTTGCTTGTTGATTTATGAACTTAATGGAATTATAACCTCAAACTAGCTTTTCTAAAATAATTAATGTTAAAATTCAATAGTAAACTTTCAATTCCATTAGATTAAGTATTTTTGATACTATTGGTATAGATTTATTAAATATTATAAATAATAAAATTACAACTTAAAAAGAAAATTGAAATCGGTTGAAATTATTCATTTTATTGACTTAAGGTCTGATTTTGTTGATAAACTGAATTAATCCAAGATATACCTAACAATGCACATCGTAGCAGAAGTTCCTGGTGAAATTTCATAATTGTAAAAATTCGTCAAAATAGCTTGGTCAGATGGATTTAATGAGTTATTTGTCAATATTCCACCAATTGCTTGTTTTGTTCCTACAGCTAGATCTTCATAACTTTGCATACTGTTCGACTCAATGTAATCAGCAATTATGTTTTTGATGCTTGTGCTTAATGTGGTGTATTGATAGTTGAAATCAGTACATATTGAGTTGGTTCCAGCAAGATTTCCTTTGAGGGATTTTGTAAAGTTTTAAATAAAATTGGAAGCATGACGTTTTAGGAGTGCATTAAAGAAGATAAGAAGGATATTTTGTTGTTTGTAGATTTCTCAAACAACAGAAATTCTCAAAAAACAAAAAAATACTTTGAGGGAAATAAGCTTCTTCAATAATTCTTAAAACACCTCTAAAACACTTTTAGACTTCTATCCTAAATAGCAAACAACTACAAACCAGTTACAAAAAAACCTAAAACCACAAAAACTGCACTTAAACCTTTCATTTTCACTTTTTAAATAGATTTGATTTAAAATTATTCTCCATCTGCTTCTTTTTATACTCAATCATCAAGTATTAATTTTTTTCTCCAAACTTATTGCATCAAATCTACTCGCAAGATGCAGTAAAACTCGTAAATTGCAAGGATTTCATTTGTTTGTCTAAACTTTCGACAGAACATTTCGTGATGCTCATAAAATAATTTTTTAAGTGTGATAATTATGATTGTTTTTCCTAATTACATGTCAAAATTGAGCATGTAGACTGTAATAACTGAGGCTTAAAATTAATAAGGAATAAACTTATTAGTGTGAGGTCAGGGCTGTGTTTTGAATTTAGACTAATAATTTAAAATTACAACTTTGCCATGTAAAATGTCAAACCAATTTTTTTTGAAGTTATGGTTTATTCAATAGTTTACGCAGTTGTTCTTAAACTGAGTGCCGCGTCACACTAGTGTGCAGTGAAAAATTACAGGCGTGCTTCAAAAAAATTTAAAGTTTAAATTGAACCTGTATTTTCATGTTTTATGGCTTCAAAAAAGTTTGAGAAACACTGAATCAATAAGTTCAATTTTATACAGAAGAAGGATGTCTAGGATTTTGTTTCATTCTAAATGGAATTTTGTTTTCACACAAACTTTATAACGAAGGTAGAAGAAGTCTAAAATTGCTAAGCGATCATTTATCCATGGCGTTTGAGATTAAAGTTGAATGTTTCGGATTCCACTACAATCTGTAGGTCTAAAGGTTGTGGTACAATAGATTAACAATTCAAAAGGCTGAGCCCTTAAAGCATTATATATTAAAAGGCGGAGAATAGTTTAGGATTTTTGTGACAGTTCAGACAATAAAATTTGAGACAGAGGTGGAAGTAGGGGCTCTAAAAAATCATATTTTTTGATGGATGTCAAAAGTGAATGACTCCTAAAGGCCTTTATATCAATTTTATTTAAAACTGCAATTAAGAAATAACATTAAAGCTTTAAAACAAATTAAGAATGAATGATAAGTAAGTTAATAAGTTGTGCATGATTTACTAATAAAATTATTAATTAAAGTCAGTAAAAAACAGCTAATGATCCCCCTTTGTATATTTGAATATTACTTAATGTTAAAAATGACTTTAAGTCAAGTAGTGAAAGCCATGAAATAACATCACGAAGCTGTTAGAACACTCAACGTACCTATGACGTTGTATCATCCTTAATCTAATCCTAATCCATTACATAATGTCAGAATGACTCTAAGAATTTGGATTATGAGCATGTAATCATAGCTATCAAGGTTTTGGATCAAAACTTCTACCTCAGTTGAAATTTATTTCGATTTACAAAGCTTTAAACAGCAAAAACCCTTTTAAAAAACTTACTGTCTATGCTCTTGCATGTGATTAATCTCTATTAAGATCTCATTTGATTGAAGCATCCATTACCTTAACAAGAAAGAAGTCCAAAAGAAATTCAAGAAAAAAAGAGACTTTAAATTTGAGAGCATGAAAAAGTGCTTTTATTTACACAAAACTACAGCAAAAAAATTTATGTAATAAATGAAGGCCATAAAGGCACGAGTATATGTGAGTCATGAGTCATTGAAAAATCTCTTGTATTGGATGTAAGAAATTAGTCAAAATTAAAGCGACGTTTACCATCAAAACGGAATCCATAAGCGGCTGCATTTTTAATATCGACCAAAGCTGAAATGAGGAAAAAAGTCTCATTTAAAGTTGAAGGTCAGGCAAAAGTGTTACATACCCGGATTGCGATGTTGGAAGAAACTTCCATGAGCGTGTGGTGCTCTCGCGACGCTATTGCTGATTCCGCTCATTTCACGTGGGTAAAATGCTTCAAAGTCACCATCTTTTGGAATTATTGTCTCAATTTCTTTATCCGTTGGATCATAGCACTTAATGGAAATGATGAGCATGCAGAACATCGAGAATATTGCATAGAAATTCATCTTTTTTGGTGCTGAATTCAAAATATTCAAGAATTAGAATGTCAGGTTAAGAATGCATCAAGAATACTCACAATAATAAAGAAATCCTTTAGTTTATTTAATTAAATCCCGAGAAATTTGCCACGCGTATTGTCTAGTCTCAGATATTCCAATGACTGCTGAATACATGGCTTTTTCTTCTCACAAGCCATGGCGCAAAAATATAAAGCAGAATTGTAATTTAGACATCAAATAGGCAACAATAAGGCACGACTTTCTCTCCTCGCTCGCTCAGTTGATGTCTTAGCTAGTATTTCTGAGTTTGAAGGCAGTTTGAGGAAGTTTGAAAATTAAACTTAATTTTTTTTAAGGTTTTAAAAATAAAAGTTTAAAAAATTAAATAAAACTTATTATAAATGCACTTTTGCCTATCCACCTTATACCGTCTTTACTCTTTAAACTTTGTTTTGCTTCCATTCAATGGACAAGCTATAGTTCAAAGCAGAGAAGAAATTGAGCACAAAACAAAGCAATACTAAAAGAGAAACATTCAATTGGATTATGTTTGTGCATTATAAGTACAAAAAGGTATCACTTACTAACATCAACCGGTTCGCAATTTATATAATAAGGCACTGGAAATAGAAACAAACTCAATTTAATTCTCAATTGAATAATTTTTTTATTAATTTGAATTTTCATTTATTTACAGCTTTATTCAATCAGCGACAAATTTAATTCTTTAATGAATACACCGAAAAATAATTGTTTTTTGTAGGCTTACGCAAGTTATCAATCTGGCTTCTTTTTGATTTTTATATCAAGTTTTCTTTTAAAAAAATTCTTTATTAAACATATCATATAGAATACTTTTTTTATTATTTGGATAGTCCATTAGTGTTTCTTAAATAGTCAAAAATATTAAGCTAAAATCTTTTCTCTTTTGATGATTTTTAAGTCTCATCTATGACTTGGTTAGGATTTGAGTAATGCAAATGGAAGTGTAAACATTTTTGTGGATTTTGAAATTAAGGGGCAGAGTTGCGATCTGTCATAAGCAATCACCTGTCATTAATCTGTTAATAGGCAGTGTCTGTGATAGGCAATATTTTTTAATGCCTATCACAGACACAAATACGTCAAATCTGCGCACAGATATAACAGATTTGTAACCGTGACAGGCAAAAAACTTATTGCCTGCCACAGGCACTACCTGTTAACAGACAATATCTGTGATAGATCCAGGCAACCTGTATCGCAACTTTGTAAAGGAGAATAAAATTAAAAAAAAAAACAGTTTGATTTTCAGGAAACTTAATTAAGTTTTGATGAGCTAAAGTAAAGCTCGATGGCAGAATGGTTTAATATTTCGGTACATAAATACTGCAATGCTGTCGAGTCGATCATGGGCTAGTGACCAGTAAGGGTTTTCAATAGCTATACGTCTTGACAATGCTTTAAGCCATATTCTGATTTTTTGAAGCATCAACTTTAAATGCCATTAACATTAAGTACATAATATTGAGCAATAATAATCAAACTGTAAATTATGAAGTCTTTAGATATAAATTTAAAGTATCATGAAAAATCCACAAAAACATTTCACTAAATGATGTGCCTCTCTCTCAGATTTCCATTTGCATCACTCAATTTTCTGTACTCTCAAAAAAATAAATTACAAAATCTCGGAAGTGGACAATACGAAGTGTAACTGTGTAAAATAAATCTCCTGAATACAATGAAATGTATCTTTTTTTGTTGTTGTTGCTTTTATGGTCGGTATAATATATCTATTGACTATTTAAACTGGATACAAGCATCCTTCATTTTTAGACTTAATAATGGGAGCACTAAATGGAGACATCCAGAGTATTGAAAACCTTCCAAAAACAGACTCAATGCTTTTCCATCTAGACTTTTTCGTCCACTTTGCCTCCTCCTTCTTAAGCTGCTCAATGCCTGTCTCATCATGCCATATTGCTGTGAGTTGGGTGCCTAACATAATAATTGTAAAGACTGCAAAAAGCAGCGCCTCAAAGATGAGGAACAATAGAAGTACGACAGTTGCCGGTGGTGAAAATGTTGAACATTCTTTCCACTCGTGTTTAATGCACATCGCAAATTGGTTGACACAAAGGAATAAGGCATGAATTGAAATTAATGCGATATAACAGCAAAACAGCACGAAATACTTTTGGTTCCTAAAATGACAAAAATATTGTATTGATGAGGTTGAGTTAAGTTTGAGATTTGATTTGGGAGATTCTTTTAAAGAATTTATTAACGAATGGCAAAAATTGGTTGATCAATCAGAAATCCAGCATCAATTCGGCATGATTCTTGCATAGTGCTGGCTTTGATTTAAGTCCAGCACCATGCTAGAATCAGGGATTTTTACTCGATTAACCGACTCGTGCTTTTCGGGGTTGAACATAAAACAATAAAGATCCCAAAACATCTAAAATTAACTTGATAAAACTACTACAAGAGAGCCATACACACCTTTCGCCAACGCAATTGTTAACCTGTTAGTAAATGAAATGAGAAAATAATGTACGTGTCATAAAAAAATATTTTCTTAACATAATAAATTGAGTTTATTTCCCGAGCGGCACGATAAGCTGGTTATTGAGCTACATTAATGTTCATATGTAGAACAAAATGTATTTTATGATGGATATTTATCGTAAGTTCTGTGCTTTTATGTTTTGAAAGGTTTTTAACGTTTCATTTCAATTGATTTAATTAATGCACAAGATAAGGGTTCTTATAAGATGTTAAGGAACCTGGTAGATGAACCGTTGCTGTAAGGAAGATCCCAAACTATTAAGTCAAGTGGCTAGACATAGAAGTACATGGTAATCGATATAAACCAAAATTGGTGACTAGGTAAGGGGCCATACACTTATTACGTAACGCTTTTAGGGGGGGAGGGGGTCTAAGATTTTGTTACGGTTCAAACAAGGAAATTTTTTTTTCATACAAATTTTGTTACGAGGGGGGGGGGGGGGGGTCTAAAAAGTCATTTTTTCGCGTTACGTAATAAGTGAACAGCCCCTAAGCAAAAGTGTAAAAAAACTAGGGCACACAATGAATTGCTTTCAATAATATGATCCAGACCACTATTGACCTTTCTTTAAAAATTCTTCTAGTTGCTTATGTTTAGCAGTGGTGTTCAACCTTTTTTTGTGCCACTTTTAAACCCTAATGGTTAACTATGACCGAAACCGCACACTGCATACGGTTAGTGGAATTTTATGAATTTTTTCGCGTCACACTAGTGTGAGTTGTATCATACATGGGTTGACCTTCACTGATCTATAGTCATATTCCGCTCGGGTTGTTTACGTTTATGTTTATGTTTACATTTATGTGAGTATCTTACCCAAGGACTGCAAAAAAACAAATAAGAAGAGTCAATTTAATCCACCATAATCATCATAAAAATATTTATTATTTTACTCACCAATGATGATCCATTTTGAGGATACATCTCTTACACACGGAGCAATGATGTGCTCGATTTGGTTTAATGCTACTACATTTGGGACATTTAAATATTATTTCGCCCTCCCTTAATCCCAATAACTGAATATTCTCTTTTGTTGCATTCCCCAATTGAACAGCACCAGGATCACTAAACATTGTTTTAAGATGACTCGATATTGCTAAAAACGTTCCACAGTTGAATAATATCATGTTAATGTAACGATAGTAAAAATAGGGACTCGGCAAAAGCATAACTTTCATGACAACAAACTCTGCATAGGCAATTAGAAACCATGTTAATACGGCACAGATGATACCACAAATGTCCTGTAGATGGAGGGAAATAAATTGGGATTAATAAGTAGCTTGAATTTAGATTTGAAGTTTGGATCCTTAATCATGAGATACAGCAGACAGTTATTGAATAGACCATTAAATGAACCGCCAAAATAAGTGAACTAAGTTTGTTTTTCAATACTAGCATTCAAGCATGTAAACTTCGTTATAAGACCATAAGACACCCATTAGCTTCGTGTTATCATATCAAAGTATTTTTTTTTTATTGATAATCCCCTTCAATCCCCATCAATGTCGATGAATCATTCAACAAAATTTCCTAATCAGGATCTTCATTCATTCTCATTAAAATATGTGTCAAAAAAATCTTTTGATTCCTCAATAATTTCCCATAGGATTAAAAACAAATTTTCCAATGTAATACATCAAAAAAACTAATTCCAGTCCATGATTCACGTGCGACTTTTTGCATCAAAAAGAAACTTTTTTTTTAATTAAATTATAATGATAGAAATTTTTTACCTGTATGCACCAAATTTTTCCTCTAAATATCCTATTGTGTGTATCAACATGTCGTTTTAACGGATAATAATCGTAATCCATTGCTATATTTAGTTATAATCACTTTTCTATCATCACAATATGATTATATTTTAAAGATATTTATTTTAAAAAGATTTTAATGTGAAAAAAAAGAATCATACGATACAAAACTTTCTTTAATGTTTGTGCTTTTTGCGTCATTTATGTGGACACTATTGAAAAGTTTTAGATGGGATGTGAAAATATTATTTTTAAAAATTTTGAATAAGATTTTTGGTGATTTTTGAAGATTTTAATCTTAAAATATGTAAAATTAAATAAGGTTTTAAAATTTCATCAATTTTAATTCATAAAATCCTATAAATCTGTAAATTCAGAACACTTTCAATTTTTTGACAGTGTAAAACTTATCGTACGATGTAAAGACGCAAAACAGCCACAGAAACTATCCAAATGGACAATAACAAATAAACAAAAAATCATCAAAATATTTTCTCGACTAAAGGTCAATCTGTGGTTCAAGTGAAAGTTAATCAAATGGAGACGATAATTAAGCTGAATAGTCAAGTTGCAGGGAAGGACAAGGTCGCTAGACTTTTGCAATATTCATGTCGAACAATATGGGACTCATTAAATTCAAAGGACGATGCTCAACTGGCACTAATAAGTCAACTGAAAAATTTGGAATACATTCTGTCCTCTTTTAGAAAACGTGAGTGCTTTATCAGCATAAATATATTATCAAGGTCTAAAGTTTGGACTTTTTGTTTCACACAAGATCAAGGGAAATTGATAAGTTTGCTATTTCTTCTCTAGCTGATGGAAATTGGAATTTCAAATCTCATTTTTTTGGACTTAATTAATGAATTATTCATGAGAATTTGAAAATATTTAATGAGTTTCTCTTTATGTGACATAGAAATTCTCAAATTTGTCGTTCTATAAACGACAGTGGAAGTAATTTGAGAATCGGAAATCTAATGAATAAAATACCGAAGACCGAGAATTTGGATCAGTTTCATGTTTCAGAATTTTTGATATCCAATTTAAAATTATAAGTTTTTGGGACTGTATTGAAAAAAATATGAAGAATCAAAAAAATCAGCTGTCACTCGGGACAGAGTCTAAGTTAAGGCGAAATTGTCAGTGCGAATGTTGGGCATCTGTCGCGTGAGTGATTAGGCAATAGATTGGATATCTATAAACATCCTTTGTAAGGACGAGGGTTCCATTCCCATTAGAGACATATCTCTCAATCATTACATTCGCACCAGAGTTGCGATACAGGCACCTGTGCACATGTGAGAACCTTTCAATTCCTTGATAATTTATAAGGTTTTTATAACAAAACCATAGAAGTTTTAATAAAACCTTACAAATTAAGAACGGTTCTCACCTGTGCACAGGTGCCTGTATCGCAACTCTGATTCACACAATGATCCTGACATTACACATACTATACATCATGGAGCCATAGCAAAGATCCATATTATGTATCAACGCTTTGGATATAATCCTTAAACTCTCATCCCAAAGTTTTTTAATAATTCAAAAATATCCAACTTTAAAGAAATTCTTAAGCTTATCAAACACATGATTGCAAACATAAAAGATTATAAATGTCATTTTCAAAAGAATTCATCTATCGTAACCCCTGATTAAATGTCAAGGAAATAAAAACCTTTGACCTTTCAAAACATTTCTTTTATCTGTGACATAAGTTTAATCTCATTTATCTCTCTTTCCAGTTCTCAGATTTGGCAAAAGTTTTGAAGTATTTTATGGAACACTGAAATCTATCCATTATTCAGATGCGTGGTTGGCATTCACCATAACGGTAACGAAAATTTGCCAGGCAACATTCCTACTTACCGATCATATAATCTGGTTGTCAAGGAGTGGATTATTTAAAAACATTGATACCACGAAATGGAGCCTACGATCAAATCGATACTGGCTTGTATCACTCGTCATGAGTTTGGTGCGAGATATTTATGAAATTAATCGAGTTATTGCCAGCTTTACATCATACAAGAGCCTCACATCTTGTATAACATCATCAATCATATCGATTCGATGTGCAAAGGATGTTACGGTTTGTGCATCATCAGTTGCTGAGTTTCTTGTTACGTACAAACACCTGACAATTGATACAATTAAAAATATCTGTGATTTATTCATTCCACTAAATGGTTTAGGCTATATTAAGATGCAACCACGTATAATTGGATTGCTTGGTGTTATTTCGTCGCTGATGGGATTGATTGTTATTTTAGATCCTAGTTGTAAGCTTCTTCCTCAATAAATGGGGATTATTTTTGAATTGGTGCATTTTTGTAGGGATTATTGGTGCATTTAGAGCTAAGTTTGGTTGTTCGGTTAGAGTATTTATTGCTTTATCACAGTTAAATCATCCCTGCATTAAGCTATTACACTAATTATCTTGTTATTTTTCATTTGCTCACCAAACAGCAGTTAGTGTCAATAATTTATTTAAATAAGCTTTGCTCTATTCTGTGAATGATTAAATTGCTATTTGTCTGGCTTGTTGATAGACAGATTGGTTGCATTAGTAATGTATAATGAAGATTACTGTAAAAAAATATGCTGGAATGTTACTAATTATTTATTTGATTGTTAATTGACGAGGCAGTTGATGAAATAATTGGTTTGTTCCAATAAATTGTAATAAAGTAGTTCGGAGTTGCATATAAAATGAGAAAGAAGGTTCGATAGTATCTGTGGATAAGGCTCGAAGAGCATATCAAGAGTAGATAGGTCTGAGGATATGAGTAACGGATAGCTGAAGTGAGACAAGTATCTCGGTAGCTGAGTGGCAGGGATCTCTGATCGAGTGGTCAGTCTCTTTTAAAGTCGTGGGTCGAAGTTTGGGTTCGATTCCTATCGAATTCTACTTGTTTCGTACATAGAGCAGTTTGAAGGAGATCTAAAGTATACAGACATGAAGGATCATTATCTAAAATTAAATTAAACAATAATATACGCTCAATTACCATTGTTGATCAAAAAATACCAAAATGCGCCCTTAAAACTTTTTCAATTCCGGTGGATATTCACCATTAGTTCTTGTCATTCGAGAATAAATTTGCCAATTTTTTCTGTATATTTAATGAGTCTTAATTTGGGTTAAATGCTATGTTAATTGAGAAATCATTGCCACGATTGTGGATGACAGTGAAACTTTTTTGCATTTTTTGTACATAATTTTTTTTTGTGTGAAGGTGTTTTTATTTAGTAACATCTAGTTCCATATACATAAGCTATAAATAATAAAATATAGAAAATTACTGCCAAACAAAGGTAAACAAAGAAAGATTTCTATTCCATGATATTGTTGATTCATCCAATTCAGTGACGAAGGAAAGTAGATTAAGGTAAAGCATTTAATGGAATGAACCAAATATCATAAAATTGTTGTACATAACCATTTGAGTGACGGGATGGGAAAAAAGAGAATAAAATAAAAAACAATTTTTTACTACAATGTGCATTTTTGTTCCTCATTCATTCTGTCGAGCTTTTCCGAAATCAACACGTGTGTCACATGCGCACGAGTCGTCGACGATTCTCAAAGTTCAAAAACAAGTCGGAAGTTAGACGAGTGAGAAAAACTTGTGAATTTATGGACATGAAACACGAGAGTAAGTACAACAATAACTGATGAAATAAATATTGTAGCTACTTGCGGCTAAAAGAATTTTCATGTACTTCAGCATTAATTTATCGCGTAATTTATCATTTATGAATCGCTGAATATTCAATGGTAAGGAAATGTTCTTAATGGCAGTCAAAATAAATAATAATAATAATGTATGAATGGGAAAAATGGCACATATGAAGAAGCTGATATTGGAGGGCATGAAGTTCATTTGGTTTTTGATTTACTGAACTTAAAATTATTTGCTTAGAAGGGTTTAAAAGATGCTTAAGTAGTCAAGGCTGTTACTTTAAATTATAACGATGCATTGTAATGTTCTGGACGTAAATAGCTACTCATGCTGTTCTTATAGAAGCTAGTTTTTCCATTTTCAAACTAAGAGGCTTTTCATCTCTATCTATACACTTACAGAATGCCTATGCATGATTTAAAACCCCATATTTCACTCTCATGCGACATTTCATAACTTAAATCATAAGCTTTAGAAGCATCGTAATAGAGAGTGAATAAATTCCATACAAAAAGGTGCCAAAAAGTTTAAAGTGTGTGCCTGTTTTCATGATTTGGTCTTGTATGACAAGCAAGGGTGTTGCTACCTTCTTGATAAGCTTCCGACATCCTAGCAAAATGATGATTTTTACAGAATTTTTCATAACTGGAAATGACTCAGAAAATCAGCTTTTTAATTGAAATTAATTCCAATTTTCATCCTCGATTTAATGTTAAAATATTCATGAAAAATTATTTAAATGAGGCTTCAAAGGTTAAACATCCTGTTTCCGTTACCAATCTTTCCAAATAAATATACGAAAATTCATCAGCTTGTAAAAAAAATTCTAAAGCAAACTATTCCACCGGTTGAGTTCTCGTTTGGAGCTGACTGGCAATTTTCACAGTCTACTTGAGTAATAAAATTGATGAATCAACAGTCTATCTGCATGACTCGTTGATTTATTTATTGACTGAATTCACAATCCAATCCACAAATGATTAACACTTGAGCTGTGCTTATTGTTTTGGATCAACCGCACTTTTATTTGGAAATATTTGATTGTTTGGTTGAATTGTTGGTCAAATAAATCCATAATTGTGCTAATATGATGACTAAGTGCTCAATAATATTAGAAAATTGTGAAAATTAAAATGACCAGCCTCAAAAAAATCCACAAATCGACAGATTAGCATTTTTATGGTTCATTGACATCCATCAATACCCAAACATCTACTGTCAACGCCCTAAATTTAAATTCTCATCGTTTATCATTTAAAGTCATTCAAAATTTGTCCCACATTTTTTGTCAAGGGTATAAAAAAATACATCAAGAGCAAAAGGATTCACTTGAGAGCATCATGAGCGGGTCGGAATACAATTTTAATATTCAATCCTTCCTGCTTAAACGCGTAGAAAATTTCAAACTCCCGCTCTCAATTTCAATTAATGCTGAGTGTTTTCTTTTCCATAGACAATACAAGAAATAAAGCTCTTTGAGGAATTGTAGCTCTTTAAGTGCCATTTTAAATTGGAATGAGATATTTTTTTGTTTTAATGATGAGTGCAATTGCAGATATAATTTTTTTACGAGGTTGAACTTTAGTTGATATAATTTTTTGATGAATGTTTTAAAAATGAATAACTCAAATATGGAACAATAAAACTTTGGGTGGTTTTAATCTTCTAAAAGCTCCACAGGAGGCTTGATTCCATTCTTTATTGCTCAACAATTTTCAACGTCAGTATCTTCCTCATTCAATGATCACAGCAGAACTCAACATAATTTCCCTAAAATGATGAAAATTCGAAGTAATCCGAGTAAATTCCGTTGGTGGATCTCCCTGAAGATGGACCCCAATTCAATGTGACCTTTATTCATGTGACGTTAATAGGGCTCATCATCATCATCATCTAAACCGATTCAAAACTTCCTGAAGCTACAATTCATAAAATACACAAAGACGTAAACAAAGGTCAGTTTATGGTTTGATTGGCAGTTCTGAATTTGACAGGAACAACAAACAAACAAAAAAATCTTTAAAGCTTTAGAAAACCGAATAAAAAGAATTTCTTGATAATATGTTTTGGTAATCCTTTGGAGCACATATGCATGTTCTGTCATTCATGTTTCTGTGTCACCTGAGATTGTCGACATTCGTAACTGACATGAAATTCCATAAGCAACTCATTCCTCCCAAGGTTCATTTTAATTGAATAAAAGAGCTACGTGATTGATTAAGTAAAAGATAAAATTTTCAATTAATTATTCAATTGAATTAAATCTTTGAACAATGGAGCCTTGATAATCAGTTGATTGTGAAAAATTCATTTGATTACGGTCAGTGCATGAAAGGCTATTGTTCAATAAATTTATTTCTTTCGATTATATTGAAAATATTGTTTTTTGTGTAAATATCCTGCGGATGTCACATGATGGACAAGTTTATTGGGGGTTCTTGGGGGCCTTTCACTTATGACGTCCATAAAAAAAACTAATTTTTAGACCCCCTGCATCCTCTGTCACAAAACTGCCACGGTTGTCAATACCCCCCCCCCCCCCTTGTGACGTCCACAAAAAGTATAATTTTCTCACAATAAAATTGGATCTCACAAATTTCATGATCCCCTCCCTCCCCTGTCGCAATGTGCCAAATTTTTTTTGATCCTTACTAAATGTTGGACGTCATTAGTGAACGACCCCTTTAAAAAATTTAAGGTTTTTTTCGGAATTTAAAAGAAAAATAACTTTTTGATGACTTCAAGCTTTAAAGATGTAAAATTACACTGACTAAGGACGCCACTAGTCATTCTAAACACTTAAAAAACACCAAAGTTGTAAAATCTCTCAAGCAAAATATTAAATTTCAGCAAATAATCTTTAAATCTTCCTTAAAAATAGCCTTAACCCCCACAAGAAAAAAAATTCATCCACCCAATTTCTTCTACATGTTTACATAAAATATTACGATTGTTTTATTTGCTAGACACGCCACAGAGAATTGTACACGCACAAATCTTCGAAACATATTGAGCAAGTCTACAGCATCCTAAATTGAAACAATCAAAATATTCTCGGTAATTTTTTTCTTTCCTATGAACAAAAATACCCGGCGGAATCAATACATATTGTTTTTCATTAAGGAATTATCTTTTATTCGTTTGTCTGAATGATATTGTGCAAACATTTTCATTCAATTATATTTCTCTATTTCTTGAATGGATTATGTTTTGTGGGAAAAAGTTTCTTAAAGCTCTAACGGATCGGTAGCGTATTGGTTTTGTGCTTTGCCACCTAGTTATTGCACATCGCATAGTGATCATGGGTTCGAAACTTATGATGAAGATTTTAATTTGACGCTTATTCAATCCTTTGAAATATAGCTTGTTTTTCTTGAGTCTTGAGCTCAGAGTCTTGTTTTGGAAGTTGGATATGTTTGGTATTTGAATATTCACTGAAGGTGTAGATGGCATGAGAGGCTCTTGGATTAGACTTTCTCGTCATCCGGACAGGGCACATTCTTAGATCCAGGAGAGTATCCAGAATTTTTAAGGGTACGGTTTTGGGAATTTTTATCAAGAACTCTAGCAAATTGAAAAAAAATTCCAAATATGAGGGAAGAGGGGTGTTTGAGGGGGTGAGTTTGGCCCCCTTCCTAGCTATACCCCTGCTTAGGTCTAGAAAG